ACCCCCAGGCCCCCTTTCCTGGCACGACCTCGATGCTCAGATTCGGTTGCTGAAAAGCAAAAAGAGGTGCGTTCCAGTGGCTTTCAAACATCTTTGAAGATGATGAAAAAAGCAGCTTGAAACAATGGCCAAGGAATCCGGCAAATCTTCCAACACTCCATCGTTTAGAAGTGCTTTGAACAATGGTCAGGAAGCGCGTCTTCTCCGTGAAAAGCTCCTCTTGACCTCCCAAGTCCGCGATTTGAAATTGCTTGAAACAAGCGTTTTTGAAAGCCTCTGACAGTGCCGTTTGGACAGAAATCAACTGCAGGACGAGACGAGTTCAACTGTACTGCTGAGACGTCCATGTTGCGCGCGACGCCCAAACCGAACCGTTTTGAAAAGGCAAAGTGTCTTTCCACAATGTGAATAAGTGCGAGCGAAGCGAGCGAAACACCGGAGTACATCTGACATGTGTTTTGTTGTCAGAGCTTGTTTTTGATGGTTTTACATTTGGATTGTCTTACTTTTGTTGATTGTCAGGTTTTGCTTGTGCTGTTTTTTTTTTTCAACTTACTTTTTTTGATAAATAATTTCAAGGTGACTTTTGGAGACCAACTATTGCAACTTTCTGGCAAGCTCAAAAAACATCTGCAGAATTTCTTGGATCTCTCTGCAAGTCCAAGCACTCCATGGTTCAAAGTATCAAAGTGGTCTTAAGACACCCGGTTTTGGGTTTTTTGTTTTTCTGCCCAAGTAGTGTTGAGACATCTTTGGGCTCGATCTGGACTTGAAATGGTGCAAGACACCCCTTGGTGTTTTCTTGGTTCAAAGTCAGGTTATTAAAGTGGTCCTTAAGACTCTTTTGGTTCAAAAATTTGTTTTTGGAGTCTTTGAGTCTCTAGAGTCGCTGGATCGGTCCTGTTGGTTCTGTGTCTTTTTCGGTGGTCTTGGTGCTGATTTTTATCCTTACTCTAAGTCTTGCCTTGTTCTATTCAGCTGCTGATGGAGTGAAGAGGCTGCCTTAAGTCGCTTGGATCTTTCTCTCTTCAGTCTTCTGGTCAATCTCGGTTGGCCTCTTGGTCTTCCAAGTGTCCGGTCTTGAGTTCTGGGTCTGTTGATTGTGGTTGTTTTTTTTGTATTTTGCTTGTTTGTGTTCATGTTCCTTAGATGTTGCTGGTCGGATCTGTTCCAACAGATTCCAAAGTTGTTGTGCTTGGAGCTCAGTCTGTCCTTTTCCCTTGTTGTAAGTTGTGGTGGTCCCTCAGCTTCTGGTCAATTGGGTTTCCTGGTTTGTTTCTTGTCATTCAAGTTGAACCGGTCTTGGTTCTCAGTTGGCCTTGGGTCCATTATTGGTTTTTTTGGCATTTTGGCTTTTCTTTCGTTCAACTCGGTTGGTGACTTGGCATGTTTCTTTGTGGGTCCGTCGGTTCTTGCGGTCGTCGGTTGTCCTGTATCGTGTGTCTCTGTGTTGTGTGTGTTGGTTCTCTCAATGCAGTTTCCCAAAGTGCGAAATGGAGCAAGTTTGGGGACCAGAATTGGGGGTGCCTGCAACCATGAATTTCTGGCAACGCACGTCTGGCCCCCCAAAGAACTCACAAGTTTCGGCACGCTACATCACTGACCGGCGGCTAATTGCGCAAAACCCTCACGATTTCTGCAGCCGTCAGCAATTTTCCCTGAGCCAACTGGAATCTGGAAGGTCCGGGCCGGACGTCTCAATTCTTAACATGAGTTCCGACGCCTCAATTCTTAACATGAGTTCCGACGCCCAACTCAGCGCCGCAGAGCTTCTTTGCCATCTTCGCACTGCGCGCCAAGACAGAAACAGCTGAATTCAAGCAATAAGCACTGGAAAAAAGGCATCCGAGTTACATGTGTGGGCGGAGTCGGTGGAGTTCATGTCAGCGGAGTCGGCGGAGTCCTTCCAAAGTGGAATTAATTTCCCTTAGAACGGCAGCGGAGTCGAGGTGAGCCCGTTTTAAATATACAATGGTTTTTAAACCGGGGAAGACACGACTCCGCGACATGTGTACCATCCCTCGTGCACCAATCCTGCAACATCTACGCTAAGATTCTATGGGGTGGGGGTAATCTTGCTTCCTGAATCACGTTTAAGAACTGCAAAGCTGCGCAAAAGTTGCTCTCCGTGTTCACTGCAATCTCACAAATCCCACCTGACATCGTGCCCAGTTTATGCGCCCCAAACTGACGCATTTTTTAAGACGTCCAGAGCAGTCCCCCTAGGTTCACGGTCGATCCGTTAATCGTCAGCCGACACCGCGCCAGACGTGAACCGACGGTCACGCCATGGGAAATCTGGGCCCCACTTCTAAGGCTTAATTTTGACCCAGAGCTGAATCTGGGCGGCCCCGCTTTTGGGGCCGTCTGCAAAAGAAAAGTGACTTTAGGCGGCCCCAAAAATGGGGCCCCACATGCCTTCCAGGAGGCCGCCTGGCGACCCTGTCTCCGGACCCACCAGGTTGAGATTTTGGGACACACCATCTGCGAAGTTAAACTCACAAGTTTCGGCACGGCTGACCGGCGGCTGATTGCGCAAAACCTCACGATTTCTGCAGCCGTCAGCAATTTTCCCTGCCAACTGGCGGCCGGGCCGGACGTCTCAATTCTTGACATAAGTTCCGACGCCAAACTCAGCGCCGCAGAAGCTTCTTTGCCATCTTCGCACTGCAAGATAGAAACAGCTGAATTCAAGCAATAAGCACTGGAAAAAAGGCATCCGAATTACATGTGTGGCGGCTCCAACAAAGTCGAACAGTAGTGCAAGCAATCTAAAGCGGCTTGCTCTGGGGGTGGATTGTAGCGGACAGTAACAGGGCAAACTGGATGCCGGCAGTCCCAGTGATTTGTTGTTAGCGCTCGAAAGTCTCGCAGAAAAGATATTTTGCTGTGTGCTTGGCTTGGCTTGGAGGCATTTAAGTTTTAGGGTTCGGTGTTGATGTCGGAGTGTGCCGGGTGTGCAGCACAGTTGCCATTTGCCAGTCTTTTGCGTCCAGGTGGTCTGCCAGTCTCCAACGACGCTGGCCCAAAAGCGCACAGAAAGCAATCAAACACCATGCTCGGACGCCTCTTCTGCGTCAGCTTCATTGGCTGACCACCATGGAGTGCCCTGGGCCGGTCTTGCCTTGTTTGTTCTTGCTGTTGAGTCCCCACTGGCTGACCATGGGGCATTTGCACATCTTTTATCCCCCCTAGGAAGTCTAACTTGCAACATCCTTTCGCCATTGAGTGTCGGTTGTCTGTTCTTGACAACGAGTACGTGATCCGAACCTCTTCTGATGACCTCGGTTTGAATAACCGCTGTCGCACCAATGGCTACATGATGGTGGTTTTGAGAATCTGGCAATGTCGCAATTTGCGATTCCCCCACAAGCTCCGTGCTTCCTTGTGAACCGGGACTTCATTGACGACCTCGAGTACTGAGTCCGTGGGGTATCTAGTAGTTTAGCGCGATTGCTCGCTTTGTTTCTTCAGTGTCTGTTCTTTGGTGGTTTCGTGTTGTGTCTGGTGGGTTGTGTGCGCTGACTCTGTTTCACCCTTCTCGTCGAGCCCAACAAGACCGGCCTACTGTGCTACTGATGTAGTAAAGAGGCACCAGAGGGAAAAAAAAATCTCTTCTGCGTCAGCTTGGAGATGCGTCTGAGACATTCTGCGCTTTTGTGTGACAGAGATTCTGGGATTGTCCATTTTCTGCTCTTTGCAGAAATCTTTACCGTGCCACGCCCCCGGCAGTGCAAAAAAAGAAGAGTTGACGAGTGATTGCTTGCTCTCCTTTCACTTATATGGGTGTGATATTATGAGTGGAGCAACTTTGTAAGGATAATCCTGGTGTGCCTTCTTCCGAGGGAGAATTCCATGTTGGAGCAGACATGGAAGGACTGCCAAGCCATGCACCCTCTGCATGTGTTCCCTTAAAGGTGTTCATGTGAAAAGTTTACGCTTTTCTTGGCGTGCCCGACTGCTGGCAGTGGCATGGCAAGATCTTGTTTTGGCATGGCATGACGTTCAATTCCCAGTGATGAGTTTGGAGAGCACTGAGCTTGCTGTGCAAAGCTTTGAAGCAGTGCGTGCGAAGCTTTTTGCTTTTCTCAAAGTTGAGATGGAGTTTGTAGGCCTTGAGACCTGAGCTTTCTGCTGACATTGGACAGTTCACGGTGTTTAGCTCAAGTGCGATGCGAAAAGAACTGTGCGAGTGCTCTGCCACATGGTAGCGGAGCTGCCAAAGTATACTGGTTTTAAAGCTTGGGATTTCGACGCCAGCGTGTTAAAAAGGGATGCGTGCAGGTTCCGTCTAAACGTGGCACGTGGCATTGAACATTGAAGTTTCACATCGGAGACACCTGCGTTGGGCCTTGCAGGTGCCTCTGTCCGTTCGCAATGGGTTACTTCTTGACTCGGCTACTTACCGGCAAAAGCATTTCGTCGCACCCACAACCACGAAACAACACGTCAAGAGTCACCACATGTTGGCACATTTGCACTTTAATTTCCTCTTACTCGATCTTGAAGCGTTACGACCTAGAAAGGACAACGCGCATGTTTGCCAACATGTGGCATTTGTCACCTAGTAAGCATCAGAGTCGACAAGTTTTTGAACAATCTGTTCACGGGTCTTCGGTTGTGTCGGTTGTGTGTGTTGTGGGCGCGGGGATGTTGGCCGGGCAGGAGGGGGCCGTGTGCCTTGGGCGACTTGCATACCTTTGCAACGTCTTACAAAAATGATTGTATGACTTGGAATGGTTCAATCTTGCTGCCGTGACACCGTAATGGCCCCAGCATGTGTATTCTCTAGTATCCATCTACAACGTGGTGAGCAGACATGGGAGCACAATATCGAATTTCTGGGGTCAGTAGTCATGCTAAAAGTGATAGTACGTTTAATTGGACGAGTCATCGCAAGAGCAAGCGAAAAAGTAAGCGAAGCAGCAGTTGCAGTCGGAAAACTGCAGCAATGGTCCTTGTAGTCGCAGCCGCAGCTCATCCACATCGGTAGAGGTGCCATGGCACCTACCGATGAGATTTTCCAACTCGTGTTTTTGTGCCAGCTTTGGCAGTGCACTCGCAGGGCACTGGCTCTTCAGGCCAGTTGCTTGGCCAATTTAGTTGGCTAAGGTTTGGGGTTTAAAGGTCAAGGTCAAAGTCAGTCCACAGGGTGTTTCGAGTGATGGAAGGTTTTCTACTGTGGAATCATAACAAACAGCTTGCTTGTTCCATTCCCATTCGGGCGTCCCAAACCGTTATTAGCGTCAGCTTTTGAAGAGACACATTTTTTTGAAAGTGAACCTTGAGAACTTTAAGCGATTCAGTAAGGAGTTGGAACGACCGTACCCGCCCGGCATCTTCTGCTTGAAGCCATGGAGTGAGAACTTCACCGAGTGCAAGATCCGGAAGCCTGCGTGCAAGGAATCGGAGGCATGGAAGTACGAGTGGAGCGACGGACCTTTAATGTCGCAGGGTCAGACTTCAAGTACTTGGATAATTACTGGTGTTTTGTCACGTGATAAAAGCATCCGGATAATGTTAAATACGTATAAGCATGAATATTTTGTTTAGGGCTTACGATGGTACGGGAACCTTAGAATGGACCCCCAAAGAATGGGATTCCCGTATCATGAGGACCCCAGTAAGGTCGCCCGAAGATCGTAAACCCCCATATATAGCTTGACACAGCACTAAAGAAGTAGTAAAAATGTTTCGCAGAAGCTTCCCGGACCCACCGAGGTCAGCCAAGGAGCTGTGCGCCTTGGTGCCAGCGAAGGCAAATGTCACCTTTGTTGGCGACTCCCTGCTGTACCAGCTCTACACGTCGCTTCAAGCGCGAGTCACGCATGCGAAGCGGCCGCCGAGTTGCATGGACGCCTGGCAACCCTAGCATATTGTAGAGAATATAGAGAATCAGGAGCAGCGCGCGAGGGTGGGATGTTTTCATGAATGCGATGCGTCCTTGAGAGAAATTGCATACAGTAGCAAGGAAAGATAACGAAAGCATAACACCAAAAGCTTTGTCTTGCTCCTTGTCTTGCGTATCCTTGCATGGAGACTCGCTCCCTTAAGATGTCGGTGAGCAGCATCATTATACCGTATTTTCTTGTTTCTAGTGTTATTTATTGCTGTTACGATCGGGACTCGTAGGCGCGCTTCGCGTGGAAGCAGAACTTCCCAGTGTGGGCGATTTGCCCGGGAGCGGGTAAGAATTGTGAGCGGCCTCTGCTATCCTATGTGCCACTGGATGCACGGGCCCAGCCATGTGTCAAGAGGATGGAGGACTGCCGTTCGTTGGTGCATGGGAGCCCGTTTGCCATGGCAGTAGTGCTGCTTGTGACACAAAAGTAAGGCCCCAGAAGTTGTTCCCTAAAGAACTTCAGTGTGACCCAAAAACTCACTGTCTATATGAAAGTTGTCATTGCAGTCGTCAGGCAGACCCGATACAAGGGATTCCGCAATCAGTCGTCTCCCCCGTGCTGCAAACCATCTGCTGCCAGGGCAGGGTCTATCAACTTTTTAAACGATAACCCAAGCTCCGTGAGCTACCAAATCCTGTTGGCTCATGATTTGACATGATGCCGTGCGCACTCACAGTGGGGCCCTTGTATTTTGAAAAGAAATGCTCCCCTCACGAGGTACCGATTCCGGAGTGTTCCTCGAGTGCTCAAACCCCCGGCGGCGCCCAAACCCCGTCGTTTCTTGGAGCGTATCAGAGGGTGCCCCCGCAGTTCCCGAACGCAGGAGTCAGAGTGCCCTTACAGTGGCTATGCTTTAGCACGGGCAGTATGCAGGCATCCGGCTAGACGGTCGGCGTTCCTTCAAAGTGTTCATCGCTGTTTTTTAAAAGACCATGCTCCCCCATGCACCAGAAGCCGTATTCTTGTGGAGCTTTACGCAAAAAGACACTCCTGGTGGCAGGCTTGCAGGCCAATCAGTTAGCCTTGGAAGTCCTTTGAACACTGCAAGCTATAATGCCCGCAGACGTGCGCATGGAGCAAGCAGAAGGCTCTGGTTTCATGTTGACAAACATTTGACAGAATTATAAAATGCTTGTTTTTCCCTCTAGAGGCACTGCTTATGCGGGTGCCTCTGCCAGGAGAAGCCGGAGAACTTTTGGATGAAACCGATGACTTCGAAAGCGTTTCTGGACAAGTTCCGCGGTGCTTCGGTGGTTTTCTTCGCTCTGAATGCGCATTTTGCACATGTGCGCAGGTTCTTGCATGGGTGCTACACCAACATCTCCTTACCTGGAGACGCAGCAGCAGAATTAGCCACGCGGGATGCCACGCGGCTTTGGCAGCAGCTCGTCGCGGAGCAAGCCCGGCTTCTCGCGCTGAAAAAGATTCGGGTCTTCTATGTGCCCGCCCGCCGGCCTGGCACTTTTTGGGCGCTGAACCATGATGACCCGGACGCGACTCCCATCCGCTGCCCCTTGCTCCATGCGGCTGATCTGCTAACGACTGGCCAGGCCAACAATTACACTGATTTCTACATGCACGACCACCTCACGGCGATCGACGACAGGAACGTGGCAGCTTTTTTGGCAGCTGGCCACAAGGTGATCACTGGACTGGATGCCATGCTAGGCGTCCGCATTGATGCTTATCCAGCCTCCAACTGTGCGCCCTGCAACTTCGCCGGAAAAGGGTACAAAGACGCTCTTCACATGTGTCTCCCTGGGGCACCAGACTATGCCCTCGATGTTATACTTCGACAGGCATTTGGCACGACGAGGCCGATGTCCCCTTATGGGCAAACTACTTTGGGGCCCAAGTGCTCTGTCCAGGCTTTTCCGAACCGGAACAGGTCGCGCAAGGAGCCTTCCTGGCAGGCCCGACTCATGCTTCAACACCTTGTATGCGTAGTGGCCGGGGGGCCTATGAGGTGAGACTTGTGTAGTGGGTTTAAGCGAGAGCCTGCGGAACTACAGGGCATGGGAGTTTTTTCCGCACGAATCAGTGGGAGGATCTGAGACCAATGCCGGCTTCTTGGTTGAGCAGCACAGGAACGATGGTAGTGATCGGGCCAATTGGCTTCTTGATGGGTCTTGCTGTCAAGTGCCCCTGTTGCGCTGGTTCTACGGGACGGACCTGAGCTGAATCCAGAAAATCAAATCTCGCGTGGCCTTCCAATCACGACCAGAGACCCCCGAAAGAGAGATCTTCACAAACCCCGGGAAGAAACAAAGAGCGGGAAGCAGTCTCCGTCCTTGATACTTGTATTGCTCGAGCCGGCTGTGCACGGGCTTCGGGCGCAGAGACTATGACGAAGAACTTGTGTTCAAATCCCTACTGCATCTTCCATGTTGGGGGTTTAAGTGCTACGGTGCTCGTCCACACGAAACCCTGAATGCTAAACTCTTAAAACCATAACATGGCAGCTTCGTCACTATGAAGACTCAACGTCAACCCTTATACGTGTTTTGCATATACCGCCCGTTACTGTTTTGAAGAGGTGCACTAGCTCTTTTGGCAGGAAACCATGAGATTTATATGCGAGTATACTGCTTGCTCATCTCCTGAGGCGGGCCCCCCAACTACACGCTTTCCGCGACACATTTTGGCAGAGTTGCATGTTGAGAAATGACCATCTGGTACCGGTAGGGGATGCAAATTGTGTCGCAGACTTACTACAAGTCCATCGCGTATAGCATTGCAGCTTTGCTTGAACTCCTGCAAGGCGTCTATGTGAATGCAGCTCTTTGTCAGCCGGCCAACCATATATCACCATGACATGGATTGGCTGAAGAACAAACCGTCATAGCAGTTTGTTTCAGCAAGTTAGGGTCGAACTGTGCAATCAAGCTTGTCAGTTCATCTTCTGTACAGACACATGTTATGACATGTGCTATGTTGAGGAGGGTCGCAAGCGCAGCGTGTAACGTAGATCAAGCAAGGTTGGCACCTCTTTACCTTGCCTCCATGTTCTGGGCCTTGCTAAGCTGGGCCCTCCTGGCCGCAGTGGGTCTCGGATCAGGATGCTCCGAAGACCTGCTGGAGCCGGGCCTCGACTACTTCAGCTTTCTGCAGCATTCGCTGGAACCACGGCGCGCGAAGGAGACTTACAGCCTCTTCGTGAAGTTCCACAAGGTAGCGGGCACCACCTGGCGGGACTTCGTCGATCACATCACAGGCGTGTCCCTAAACTGCAGCAACCTGTGTGGGAAACCATATCTGGAATGTCAGATCGCCTACCACACCGATCCGCTCTTCACAAAGCTCTGCGAGCTTGATATGGACGCCAGACATTGTGACCAACCTCTTCACAGCTGCACATTTCATCAAAGCCTCGAAGTCATTCGCCAAGCAGTGTCTGGCAGGAATCGGGTGGGTTTAGTTAAGCGATTAGCGCACTGCGAAAATAGTACGACTCTCTCATCTTGTTTGGCTATCTACCGAGCTAAACAGTAGGCCCCAGAACACCTCCCCCTTTCCTCCCAGGACTCTGACCGCCAACAGCTCCGATCTGGTCTCGCTGCAGAATCCTGTTTCTCCGAGTGCGCAGTTCTCTAAGTCGTGGTCTTTGTCCGGTTCTTATGAGAGTATAGAGCTTCTTTGTTAGGGTGCCCAAAAAAGAAGCCACAGTGGAGAGCTCTGCCCAAGATTCCTAGAAGTAGGGTTTAGGGTCGATTCAGGGACAAGGGTGCCCTGTATTTCCCTCGACATGCGAGAATCCTGATGGTAGGAATCCTCAAACTAGTGTTGGAAACCACCAGGTCTCAGTTTCAAATCCTTTCTATGTTTGCCGTGCTATGTTTACTTCTCCTGTCTTGTGTTTTTTTTTGGGCTTGGGGGGGGGGGGGGGGGGGGGGGGGGGTTTGTCGCAATGGCAATGAGGCGAACATTCTCGAAACGGCTACTTCAGAAATCCTATTGTCATGAATACGGACACTGCTAAGCCCTAAAATACTACACCCGAATCCCTAAACACCCCCTTGTTCGTTTGGGACCGTAAGAAACCTGTGGCCCGACGACCAGCGCCTGGCCCTTCTTTACAACGTAGACTGGGCTCGCGTGTGGTCACTTGGACTGCAGGGGGGGGGCTTTGGAATTCGTTTTTTTGCATTGCAAACCTTTGCGAAGGACCATCGGCTCTTAGAGCAGTATTGGGTTCTAAATTCTTCAGCGTCGCAGTGCATGGAATACTAGGATGACGGCTAGCTCTGGCGATGTCTCGTTACATGACTCCTGAGTCCAGAGGTTGCCCTCGACTTTCGGCGGCAAGCGCCTTCTGACGACGACGCTTCTACGCGACCCCACAGAGCCTTAGTAGTACAGTAGGCAGCCTTCGACCTTTCTGGGGTCACAGGATCCCAAAAGAATCCCAAAAAGTAACCCTTTAATTCCTCTAGCATACTGGACAACCAAGGAGCGTATCCGCTCCTACTATTACTACATCGCTCCGTCGACCCACGAAGGCTTCCGTTCTTTCCTGGAGTCGCGCCGGGACTACGTGGCCGGCAACATGACGCAAGAAGCATTTGAGAACGAGTCCTGGCCACTCTTTCTCCAGACCTGTTGCGAATATGAGGCTTATCTCGGAGATGGATCTGTTGAAAAGGCAAAGCTCACGCTTGCCACTCAGTTTAACCTCGTCGGCATTACAGAGAGGATGAGTGAGGGGCTGGTCAGTCTGGGTCGCCTGTACGGCCTGACGCCCTGGGAGGCACGCCGTTAGGCTCTGTTGTCGCCTACTGTATGGGGGTTTCCGAAATTAGGGCTATTGGGGTCCTTTTGATAAGGAATCCTACAATTTGGGGTTCTATTCTGGGGCTCCCCTGTTTTCGTAAGCCCCCGTATTTTCCGGCACAGAGTTACCTAGCATTCTTGCGGCCAGAGGACAAGTAGGGTGCCCTCGGTGGTTTCTTCTGGTGAAGGTCGGCAGACTGGGCAAGGAGATCCCAAGGGACCTCGACAACGGCCAAAACAAGCTCGACTGGGCCGCAGACGAGCTGCTGCTAGCCACATACGTCTCCAAAAAGAGCACCTTGGATGTTTTGCTTGGTTTACATACCACGATGCTTATGATTATCAGGCCATTGTGCCTTGTAATTGTCAATGCGTGCGCCGCCTGACTGCGTCAGCATGGGGTCCAGCATGCAGCGCCACATACGTCATGAGTTCTCGAGGAGGGCTTCAGGGTGGTCCCGGCAGGGTTTCAGGGAAGTCAGGGGCAGATCTGAGACTGAGGCAGGGGCCAGGGGGCTCCGCGAAACCTCACAAAGGGCGCAGCCAGTGGGTTGCAGGGAGGTTTCCAGGTTGGGCGTCCTGGAGAGTGACGGGATCGGCCAGGATAGGTGCAAAACCCTAGAGGGCTCGTGTGTTTTCGTGTTTGTAGGTTCGTGTGTGGGGAATTGTCGGCGGGCGTGCGGGCACGGGCGCGGGCGCGGGCGGACGGGCGGGGGCAGTCAAAAACGCAAGAATCCCACATAGTGATGTGGGGAATAAAAATATCTGTGTAGTAGGTTCGTGTTGTTTGTCGTAATAGGGTTTCTAACTGGGCTGTACAGGGTTTTATAGGGTCTTATATAGGGTTCATTGGGTTTACTGCATTGTCAAGGTGCTTAGGGTTTGCTTTCGTTGCCTTCACAGCATCGAATATTCTGGATGTGCGGTACGGTCGTCTGCTGCCTTCCCCAGTTACCCAGAACCCGGGTCATCCAGGCCGGGCGGTGTACGACTTCGCAAAGGAGCTGTTCCAGCAGCAGGCCTGGGCCTGGGCGTAGGGTTTAGGGTTTACAGTACCAGCGGCAGTAATTAGCAGGAGTGGGCGTAGGTGCATGAGGAGGAGGAGGAGGAGGAGGCACCATGATCACTTCTGCTCTGTACTGCTTCTACTTTGACTCTTGCACTTTAGATGGCAGGGCTGTGAATCAACCCGAAGACCTATGGTGCGGTAGTATCTAAGCTTGTCGCATTATAGTTTGGTGCGCGTGTACCCTGTTGCATGGTAAGGCAACACCAGAATGGTAAGTAAACCTTACAGTACTGTCTTACAACAGTATCTCATTCTATGTCGCTTGTGCCGTACAGGCGATGAGCCTCTTCGGCACTGAGGAAGAATTGCATGCAGCTGTCGCAGCTTTCGAAACATTCAGTGCGCGCAGCTAGCAAACAGGAAATAGATGATGCTCACCAGCACTGCCTCGATTTGGTGGTTCTTTGTCATCATTAATGTCATGTCATGCGAGTATCACACCATTTCTATTACCAAGGTCCATTGTGACGATTTTTTCAAAGGCCTTAAAGCCCTAAGCAACTCTGCATCAGTCTCCCCAGCTGGTGGAGCCCTTGATGAGCTGCTGCCCGCGTTTCTCCCCGTGGTACCAGTAGTACATGCCTTGTCGTACGTACGCATGCTTGCAGACACGTGGCAGAACTTCCATCAACCCAAACATCGGCCCCCCATGTTTCTGCACATGCTTGTGCCGGGGGGTCGTTTACTTTAACGCAGGAGCACAGGTTCGGGACCATCTGAAACTAATGTTTCCTGGGCGGCAATATGTTGTGCTGTGGGGATGCGCACAAAATGAGTTGCTAGCGAGTTCAGGTCTGGTTTAGCCAGTTCTGGGATGGGATCTTCATGGAAGAATGCATGGACAAGCACGGCTTCTGACAAAGGAGCTTTCTCCCCCCAGCGCGTGGATCAAGCTTCAGCCGTTTCGTTGAGCTTGCGATGACGATTTTGTTTTTCCATGTTTGCTGCGAAGTACGTGGTTTGTTTTGGGCTGCTGGCCACAGTGCAGGCATCTGGCGAACCAGAATGTCCGTGCATTTCGAACAGGTCAGATCTTGACCAGCTGCGGTTGGATCTGGTAGCGGCGGGGCACACTGAAAACTATGGCCTGGAGGGTTGTGCTGCTTATGATGTGAATGATTCAGCATCCGGCTGTGGGTCCAACGAGAGCCCACACTGCGTGAATCCTTGGTGCTTTGTTGATATGAACCTCTGCCCATTGAACGTAGAAAAATGTCACATGGCTGGTGGGATGCCAGGCAGCGAAGTCTCTCCATACTGCCGCACGCGGCCGCATTTGCCTCGCACGCTGGGGAATACCTCTGTTTTCTACAGCTATGAGACGTGCGGGTCTGTGAACATGTATGACAGCACCAGGCACTCCATAAATGTTGGTGGACACGTTGTGAGGGTGGTGGTGAATCCAGTGGCACCTTGGGTTTTAAGACGGACTGGTTCCGGTCTTTTGCAGACAAAGGAGCATGGTGGGTATGGTGGGCCGAGCTTCGACTTCTTCATAAGGACCTTGGTGTTGTTCGAGCCAGAACCGATCTTGAAGATTCTTCCTGGTTGGGCAACGCCGCAATCCAAGCAGAAGTTCCAAAGCGACTATACCGCTTGTGTGCATGATGTTGCCCTTGGTACCTTCGACTTGTGCATCGCAGATCTTTGGCTAACCCCTGAGCGTCATCTGCTCGCCAGCTTCGTCCCACCCTTGCGGCAGGACTACTTCTTTCTGGTCGTGCCAAGGAAAACTGAGAGAGTGACTTGGTGGGCTCGATTGAGCAGTCCTTTTCAGCCATTCGCACCAAGTGCCTGGTTCGGCATTCTTGCATTCCTGTGCCTCATGTCACTGCTTTTGTGGCTGGTGCAAATCTGTGAGAATGACCAGAATGAGGGCTGCGTCGCAAAATGTTCTTGGAGCGTGGAAGAACTTGTTCGTACGCATTTTTACGTCTTTCACGATTTCCTTCTGGGGCAGAGCAGCATCCCCGTGCAGAATGGCGCAACGCGCAAGTTCTTGAGTGCTGCTGTATCTTTCTTCATCCTTGTCGTGCTGGCAAGTTACACTGCAAGCTTGGCATCGATCTTAGTCATTCAGCGCCAGAGTGTGGGTACCATTAGCAACATGGATGAAGCCATCGAGCGTGAGATCCCCATCTGTGCGCCGTCAGCTCTACTGAGAACCTTCTCAACTGTCTTTCCACGCGCAAGCTTCGTGGAAAGCCCCGAAGAACGAAATGGACCGCGCCTTGTGTACTCGGGGGCATGCGACGCGGTGATCATGTCCCAGGTTGCCATAGACACGATGCATGCGGGTCAGTTGCAAGAACGTGACTGCAACGCCGTCGCCAGCGGAAGTATCACTGAAGAGGTAGGCCGCTGTGAGAGGGACTCTTTTGGGAACCCTCGTAATGACTGCAATCTCATCCGTGTTGGCGACGTCCTGTGGTCCGTGCCCATCTCCTTTCCAGTCAGTGCAAGAATGGCCCACAGCATGTCATGGGCCTTCACCTATGCGATGACGAACGGCTTGATGGAAGAGATGAAGAAGCTGAATGCCGATGTGTTCCCTGTCCCTCACTGCAGCGTGGAAGACGAAAGGAGCGACGAGGACGGCCTAAATTTGGACGACCTCAGTGGCACCATCCTCATCGCCTTGTCCATCGCAGCCTTTGGGTTCTTGTGTTTTCTTGGAAGCGTTGCTTGGAGCGTCCTTTGTCGGAAGAGAGCGGCCGGCGAGGCGGAAAGTACCAGCGCAAGCGAGCGGGAGCGGGACAAAGAGCCCAGCAGAGCCAAGCCCAAGCGCCCTCGGGAGAAGGAGGGTTCCCGGCTCGCCAGCCTGGAAGAGCAGCCTTTCGATGACCAGATCGTGCCAACTGAGCTGGGGGCTTCAGACAGGGTCGTGGGTCTGTGTGACTGCTTCCAGGCAGAGCTGAGAAGATGAGCTTTGCTCGGTTGAGTTGCGTGGAGACCGCGCTGTCGGTTGGCTCTAACACGGAGCCCAAGAGTCCACGCTTTTCGACGAACTTTTTAAGGAGAGGACAAGCTCCGGCCTCGAGATGCTGGCAAAGAAACTCCTGATGCGTGAGGAAGTGACATGATGCAGTAATGCACTATAGCGGTTTTTCATTCTTGATTTCGTTCCAGTCTGTCGCGTGCGTGAACGAACCTCTTGGGCTCCGATCCAGATTCCTTTTAGTTGAGGGGAAAGGTGGTGTGCTGGGCTTGTTGGCCAGCGCGGCAGGGAGCTGAGCCATGTCATATATGAGGCTTTCCGACATAGGATGTGTTTTCCTGGGAAGGATCATCGTATTTTGTTGAGTGCATTCGGGGCACCCCTGATTTGTGGGAAATGCCCGCATGATGAGGTCCATGTGCAGGTAAGCGCCCACGTGGAGCAGCGTGCAATGGCACGGTGGGCGCACGTCCTAGATCCACCAGAAAGCTTCTGTGTCGCTTGGCCAAGCATTGCGCGATCTCGACGTCCTGTGCAACACACCTCCGAGGCGGTGTTTGCTGCGCTCTGTTGGCATCTTTGCTCACAGGCCGTGGGCTGTCACGTGTGAAGCCACATGTCAGCCAAACATGATGGGCATGCGTGACAAGCTGAGCTTCGCCAGGTGTGCGCTCAGGCACATACTGGCGATTGCCAGGACCTCTTTAGCGATGGCGAAGAGGCGCGAGCACTCCCAGTGGCCTTTTCGACTTGCGAGAGGGTTTTTAGTAGTTCGCTTCACTGAATCCTTCTATGTGCCGATTCCTGCAGCTACTACTGCTCTAATCAGTTGCATCTTGAGCATCGCAATGGCATGCGACCGCAGCTTGGGAGTGAAGCTCGACGTCTGAATCGACCGAAGGCCTTGTGTTGCAAGGAACACCTACAGATCTGCGAGGATGCTCAGGCTGTTGGGGCTATTGCTGACATCCCTGCATGCTTGCACCGGGGACGTCCACGAACCGATGATCAACCTTGACATGGAGAACTTTCCAGGCAGGCATGCCCGGAGGCTTCACTTGGTCATGTTCTACTCACCCGACTGTGCACACTGCGAGACCGTGCAGCCATACCTCCTTCACATAGCAGAGGCATTGCAGGGCGAGCGCGACATCGTGGTGGGCGCCATCGACTGCACAAACACCAGCAACTACGGTGTTTGCCGCCAGCACAACATCACTGGATACCCAAGCATTTTTGCGATCGGATGGAGACACTTGGCCCAATACTCAGGTGGGGCATCGGAGTCTCTGATCCGATCCTGGTTCGACAAGCTGCGGCGCCGGCGATCAAGTCGGTCGAGTGGTGGGAGTGCAGCATGTCCCCCGGGTCTCTTTGCAAGACACAAATCTGTGATTCCTCTCTGTGCAGAGCACTATCCAGATGAGACGGCGAAGCATCCTTGGTTGGTGGTGCTCTACAAGATGCAGCATGAAATTGAGGAGCCAGTGCTCGCAGTTGCCAAAGATTTGGGAGGTCGCAGGAAGCAGAGGGAACGTCTTCGAAGCTTGGCGCATCGGTACAACCTCGAAGTCAACGAAGCCCACGCAGCAGCCCAAAACCTGGACACCTCGGAGGCCTTTGCGAAGGTTGGCGTGCTCTGCTGTGACTGCGGACCGGAAGAGCGGGCATTCTGCAAAGACCTTCAGAGCCGGTGGCGTGCGCGACGATTGCCACTGGCTCTTTGGGTATTCAAGGAGGAGCAGGTGCTCCACAAAGGCATGGTCTCCGCCCCCGACCTCATCCTTTTCGTTTTATCGCGCCTGGGCCTCGTTGCTTCTAGGCATGGTGGGCGATCAGAGCTTTAAGGCTCCCGCGCAGCTTTGCGCAGAGCGCCAGTGGGCCGTTATGGCCATGGTAGTCCCAAGCTGGCACCACAGGATGCTTGGCACTGAAACTGTCAACTGTGGTATGGAGACTCAAAAGGTCGATGTTACGCGTGATCAATGCGTGGCAATCGCAAAAAACCTGGCATCTGGTAGTGTTTCGGAGCTGTGGCTCCAAAGCAGAAGTCCTTTCAAAGCAGCCTCCTCCAGTCTGAGCCCCTCAAACAAACCTTGCACGCACTGCTCGCCGGCTAGCCAAAACAGGTCTAACGCATGAGGAGTGGGGAGAGAAGTTCTCTTCAGACTAGGACTCAGCAGCTTTCACCCGCACCTGAGAAGACTTGTGAGCAACAACCGAGAGCGCCCTGCGGCAATGGGACCCTCGCTGGCACGTGTCTTGGCGCAGGACTTCCTCCCCCTGAAGTCCCGTTGCGTCAAGGGCCTCGCCGAGTGGATCCTCAGCTCCCCGTGCCGCCGGAACATCGTGGTCCTCACGGGCGCGGGCGCCAGCACCTCGGCCGGCATCCCGGACTTCCGGAGTCCCGGAACCGGACTCTACGACAACCTGCAGAAGTACGACCTCCCGACCCCCCAGTCCATCTTCAGCCTGGACTACTTCCGCAAGGCCCCGGAGGCCTTCTACGAGCTGGCGAGAGATCTCTGGCCCGGCCTTCAAGGTGAGTTTAGGGAGATTGGTTCTGCTATGTTCTGCTCCTTTTTTTGGGAGGGTTCTGCAAGGGGGAATAGATAGAAAGAGATTTATATATATATATATACACACATATATTTATATATGTTTGTAGGTGTTTTCTCGCGACCGGTCCCCGTGAATGAATGGGGAAGGGGCCTCCCATAGAGAGGGTCCCTGTGCCCGGAGAGAACCCTCTTGCCAGGCTACAAGCCCACGCTGACGCATCGCTTCATCTCCTTGCTGGACAAGAAGGGCCGCCTGCTGCGGTGCTTCACGCAGAACATCGATGGCCTAGAGCGGTTGGCCGGCCTGCCTTCCGAGCGCCTGGTGGCAGCCCACGGCCGCTCACCTCAGATTAAGGAAAGCGGCAGCCAAGGTGTGTTCGCAATTGCTTGCGTGACTTTGCGTGAAGCAGAGAGTTCCCCGCGAGCTTAGGCAGCTTCGACACGGCTACCTGCATTCGGACGGGCCGGCGGGTGCCTGCGGAGGAGCTGCGCCAAGCGGTGCTTGTCGGGAAGGAAGGCCCGCAGGGTTGGCAGGCACTGCGCGAGAAGTACGGAGGCCTCGTGAAGCCGGACATTGTGTTTTTCGGCGAGGACCTGCCTGCAGCCTTCTTCACACACCGCCGACAGGACTTCAGCAAATGCCAGCTGCTGGTTGTTATCGGTACTTCTCTATCTGTGTATCCCTTTGCAAGCTTGCCCCACGAGGCGCCCGGCTCTTGCCTCAAAGTTCTCATAAATCGGGAAGATGTCTTAGACTTCAGCTTTGATGTCTCCCTACTGGGTGATTGCGATGAACATGTCCAAGAGCTGGTGAGCCACCTGGGCTGGCAAGAGGAGATGTCGGAGCTGGGTGGAGCTGACTAGTTGGCGAAAGCAGTGGCAAGGCGCCAGTTCGGGGAGATGGTCGGATCACCTGCGATCACGAGGAGCATCTCGCAGCAGCTCAGGGTTGGTCGCGTACGCGCCGTGAAGGATATGCCCCAGAGGCCCCGATGATAGGCCGACAGGCTCCTTGTCAGGATATCGCCCACCTTTGCGCGCCCGGCCTTCGCGCGCGTCCAAAAGGCTTTTAATGCCATGATCCTTCAAGATGCAGAATCCGAAGTGCTGCAATCTGGAGTGTGGCTCAATAGTTAAGCAGCACTCACGACCTCTGAGCCTAAAGCTGGAGTATAACATAATATAGTGCAAGATAAAGCATACGGTAGTACAGTATGTATACAAAAACACACATAAATTTGAATGTATAAGTGCGTGTGATAAACGTATAAGTCCGTAAATATGTAAGAAATGATATGAACATACACATGAATAACAATTGTAAGAACAAGAAGTAAATAAAAACAGAGTAGATATACGGATAAAGATAAAAGTAAGTATGAATACCAAAAAGGCAAAAAGTTGTACATATAATACCTATATATATATATATATGTCTATATATATATATATAGATTTCCCTGAGTGCCCCAGCGCCGCAATTCTTCTTTGGTCTCAGCCCCTGAGCTGAGTACAGCTTCACCCCCGCGGCCCGGCCGCAAGAAGAGCATCCTCGGTACTTGGAGGTTCAATTTGGGTATTTTTCGGTTTCGGGTTTAGGGTGAAGGGTTTCGGGTTTAGGATTCTAGGGTTAGGGTTTTCCGATTTGGGGTCGCAGGGGAAACTTACAAGCGCATAGCTGCTTGCGATCGCAAAGTGGGTGTAGATGTCTGTGGTGACATGTGGGTTTCAATCGCCCAGGATGCACTCCGTCCACCCGGGCTGGCGAGGGCGTTCGCCGCGCAGTGGGCGCTTGCTGCGCCGTGGCCTTGGAGAGATTCCCTCCGGAGCGCGCCTTTCTCTTGGGCACAATGGGGTTGACCTTGGCAGGTCCCACCCTGGTCCTGGCAGTTCTCGTCGCCCGGCAGGAAAAGGCATGTTGTAGCCCGGGAGGGTTCGGCTGTTGAAGTTGGGTCATCGAGGTGCTCATATGCGCATTTGCTCCCTGCCAACACCTCTGCGGTGACCTCAGAGAGTTACAGTCCAGTGATGTGATGGCTGAGAGCTGGCCTCTTCCAGGGGCTGCTCTCATTGTGTTGCCCAGTTAGCCTGGTCGCCAACTCCAAGCAGCCAAATGCGGCTCTTCAAAGCGACCGACCTCGCCGGCGAAGCGGTGAATCTGCGTCCCAGCTGCACAGAGCGCATGTCCACGGCTTCTCTCAGCTTTTGTTTTCTAAACCTGTCTGAGTAGCCCCTTGCTAAGCTCTGGAGTCTTGGTAACATCCATCAGCCCCAAACCCTCTTCGAACCCCACCCAGAGCGCCCAGACGCGCACAGGGCCGGCGGGCCTGGCTGCTGGCCTTGGCGCCCTCGGCCTTGGCGCCCTCAGCCGCGCAGGCGCTGGGTTTGGGGGGTTTGGCGGCCGTGCGCTCCAAGGGCTCATCTGTCCCCGAGCCCTGGCATCCCGCGTTAAACGCAGCCTCCGCCTGAGCACCAGATGCGGCGTGGCAAAGAAGAGCCCCTGGAGCCCTAAACCCCTGAAGGCGGCCATTCCCATGATGGAGGAGTTCTACCAGGTGCGGTGCTGAGGGCCAAAGTTGAGGAAGTTGAGGAAGTTGTCTTAGGAGCGCCTGCGTGCTCAGGGAAACGGAGCACAGATTTCCCGACCCAAGGAGGAGGTCCAAGTGGCTCAGCTTTGAAGCCCAAGCCCGTGCTTGGTAGATTGCGGGGACTGTGGCACATCTCGTGTGGCACTCAACCATCTAAGGCTGCCCAGTATGCCGTGCAAGCAGCATGGTACCAACAAAAAGGCTGGGTCCGAAACTGAATCTCGGAGTGCTCTTGCCTGTGCGCTCACGCAGGCTTGTCTTTGGCAGCCGCGGCCGATGCTGCTCTGACGTCCCTGGGTGGCGTCGAGGCGATGCTGAAGCAGGGCGACTTCGATGGTGTGAGGCGGACAGCCTTGTGACCCAACCGCCTTTAACACCCAAGACACTATAGGCCTCTTCACTGTCACCTTCTTGCGTCAGGGACCTCCTCGTCTCTCCTTCGGCCTCTCGGCACTTGATCTACCGGCACTTTGTTTTTTTGGGGTTCGATTTGCTTCCTGGCGTTTCAGGTGGGCTCAATTGGCATCGCTGCTTGGCACACATTGGGCGCCTCAATGCAGGTATCCGGAGCTTTGGGTCCCAGAATATCTTGGGGGCCCTTGTGGAAGATGGGGGCTTACGAAAACAAGGGACCCCGAATATAGTCCCCCGAATAGGAGGATTCCCTTATAAAGAAAGGACCCCAACAAGGTACCCCTAATATCGTGAAACCCCCAGATGACTTGGTATGTTTAAAAGGGAGTGACGACCTTCGGGACCAGGTGCGCTCTCCCTCGAGGGTGGGCGGCACGCCATTTGGCGCGTGGGCCGACCAGTGCTCCCAAAGGAGCGTGCCACCTGGACTCAGACATCTTCAGCGGGGGCTTTGCGGGAAGTGAAGTGAAATCCTGAAGGGGGTCAGCTTGAAGGGAAGTCCTACAACCGTAAGCCCTTTCTAAGCCCTGAGCTCTCTGTTTGGTGTGAAGAGTTTCGGGAAAGGGCCCAGCCATGCGAGGTGTGACTCCTCTGTGATCATTGCGCGGGGAACCCTGCAGCAACTGGAGGAGTACCTGTTGTGCATGGTACTGCTGTGCACGGCATGTAGCACGTTAGGGGACACTATAGCGGGCACAGGAGTTGGTTCTAAGTGCCGTCGTAGTTCCATGTTCCGAGTTCAAAGTCCTGAATGACTCAACCCTCAAGCTGGGAGGAATGGTGCTTCACAAAGCGAGCGATCTACTTCAACTCCGCCGACAAAGCACAGGTCGTGGGATTCATTTAGGGGCACTTCTTCCGCAAGCGCACCGCGCCGTGGCAGCCGGGGCCGACCCAAGCCAAAGGTCGGGCTGCCATGCAAAGCATCGCAAAGCGGCCGTGGGGAGAGAGATGCCGGAACGGAGCAGACCTGCAAACCCGAAGCTTCTCAAAATTCGCACCGCAAAGTGAGATTGGGGCACGGCTTGCAGTGTCAGCCTGGGCAAGATCTTCGGTGAGCTCCACGGAAGTCTGTTGTTCCCAGGAGGGGCCCCAAGGGCCTTCTTGTTCCAAACGCCTCCCGGCCAAGGCGAATTCTGAGAACTCCACGAGTGTTGCGCAGATGCCTGCAACGCCTGGGCAGGTGGAGTCTCGGAAGGAGACCGGGGCCGCTCTTCGGAAGATCACGGCACCAACCTCAGCCACGGGTGCTTTTTGCCCTAAAGCCTCGGTGCTCATTCGTCAGAGGTGGGGATTAGATGGAGGCTTTTGTTTCCTAAGCCCAGCTTCCTGCGATGGACCCCCAGGTACCATCCCAAAGCCTTGTACAATGCACCCTTTCTAGGCCACGGTAGATTGGAGTTGGGGTATCAGGTAACTGGGCTCCGAAACCCAAAGCCCCGAAAGTCACGACATTTTGTCAGGAGAACCTGGAGGAGCCCCTGGACTTCCTGGAGCAGGCTGGAGAGATAGAGTCAGCTTGAGGGTCCATGAGGGGAAGCCTTCTGTGAGCCGGAAGCCCTGAGCCACCCTCAACGGCCCTGAGCCCGAAGCCCTTGTCCGCGCAAACTCGGGTGCCAGGCGCGGGCGGCTATCGAGGAGGCGGCATCTGCTCCTGAAGCATCCGAGATGTGACCGGCGCGTTGAGGTATTTGCCTCTTGTAGGGTTTAGGGTTTAGGGTTTAGGGTTTAGGATTTAGGGTTTAGGGTTTAGGGTTAGAATCATGGCACGCGAGTCTGGTGCACAGGTGCGAAGCGATGCCAAGAAGATCTGACACGCGGGGGGGTATTCGACTTGCAGAAACTTCGGCCAGCTTTGTCTAGCCACTCTTCACTGCTTCTGGGGTGCTTTGCTTCAGTGCGAGCACACAGCTGGCCCAAGATGAACGGAAGCTGATGGACCGCGAGTCGAAGCTCGGGAGCCCTTCTCAGTGACTTTCATCGCAGCTTCGAGCCTCCGCGTGTGGGGTTCCCGTCGTCGGAGGCCGCTGCCCCAGCTTGTAGTGGGAACCGCCCTTGGGGAATTGCAAGCGATGACTGCTGCATGCAGCTGCCTTTCGTAGCTTAGTAGAAACTTCAGAGGACGAGTCTCATGAGAAGGGAACTGAGATCTTGTGATCGAATGCCCCTGCAACTTGGCTCGCAGCGGTTTTGACTCAACGACAACCTGAAAGACCCACACGCTCCACAAGCAGGTCCCCCGAAGCTTTTGCATGTTCGGCAATGCACGCGATGTGTTCATGCCTATCATGTCTTCACTTTTCACACATGGTCAGGATGCCGAACAAGGAGAAGCTGGCGAAGAAGAGCAAGTATGCTCCCTAGAAAAGCAGCGGTCAACAATCAAGCTGTCCAGAAGCCTGAAGTCCTGCCCCCTTCAGGTACTTCAACAAGCTCATCGACCTGTGTGTGAACTCTCCCAACGCCCTCCTTGTCGGCACCAAGCCAAGAGTTTGGGGTGTTGGGCGATCAAGACCTACGTCGTATCATTCGTACTCTTCGTACCCATTCATCTGCTCGCCTCTGCCCGGTGTTTGATGTGAGGTGTGGACCATGTGGCCTCCAAGCAGATGCAGGACATCCGCATGGACCTGCGCGGCCGTGCCATTGTCCTCATGGGTGGCTCGGCGTAACGCACTTCGCTTCGTGAACACGTGTTCTGTGTTCTTGAGCTCCGAAATTCAAGATGTCAGACTTGGACCCAGTTGTGCAGGCAAGAACACGATGATCCGCAAGGCCCTCGAGATCGGCCACGAGCAGCACCCAGAGGCCCTAGGGTTTAGGTTTTAGGGTTTAGGGTTTCGGGTTTAGGGTTTAGGGTTTAGGGGCCAAGGAAGGACAAGGGGGGGATCAGATGGAACATAGGGGACCCTTAATACAGTCCCCAAATAGTATTGCCAAATAGTAGGTTAGTAGGACTCCCTTGTAGTAAGGACCCCAGATCCGCCCTGTCCTGTGTTCAGGCAGGCCTGGACAAGCTGCGTGCTGCCATCCAGGGAAATCGGGGTTTCATCTTCGCAACGCCTCTCGCTCTGCATCACCGTGCATTTTTTGTGCGTCGTTCCTCCTACTGTACCCAATATCAGCATGGCTCTCGCCATTGCTCACTGTTCATGAGGAACTGCACCTTGGACGACATCCGGGAGTGTCTTGCAAAGCACACGCGCCAGTCAGCCGCCAAGGCGGGCCAGTTGCTTGGACGCAACAATAGGTCAGAAGCCCCAAACTCCCAAAACCACATCGGGGACCCCCCATTCTGATTTACAAGCCGTTCCTTAAAACTCTGATAAGATCTGGCTGATGTGATGCTTAAGGATTGCAAGTCCTAGCGTTTAGCCAAGGACTTCCATCGTTGACTGGTTCATCCCCTCGGGACCCACTGGCATGGACCCTTCCCAGACGGCCTTCTTCCAGGCACGGGTTTGCGTTGTGAGGCGGCGGCCCAACGTCTCAGGTGGCTTCGTTTCATGTTCTGGATGACTTGGGGGGACACCAGGATGGGCGATCAGACCTAAAAGGACTCTGTTATAGGGTTCATTGTGGGGATCATCAGGCCCACTAGCCCATGCTGGTAGGCGCTGAACATCGGTACCAAGATCGTGAAGGGACAGATCGAGCTTGTCTCGGACTTCAAGATCTTGGCCATGGGCGAGAAGGCCAGCTTGGGCCAATTTTGGGTTCCCTGTGCTTGGCACAGTTCAACGGTTTCCGCCGTGTTGCCGACACGGAAGCACGCTGGGTTGAAGGGATTTGTCAGAGTGATCTGATCAGCATCCGCACCCGGCGCCCGCATTGCAGGTGTCTGCAAGTGGAGCGGTCCTGCTCGGCAAGCTGGGCATCAGGCCTTTCGAGTACAAGATCGAGGCCGGTGACCTCTTCATTCTTCATTCGTTTCGATGGTACACTTCATGGACCCCGTCAACTCTGCTACGCGATACTCTACCCATAGGTCCTTTGATGTCCTTTGCCCACGTCTTCGTAAGTTCACCTCAGCTTGTTACATCCCTTTGAGGTGCTGGAGGTCTTCCAGGATGCCGCGGTGTTCAGCGCAGCCGTGCTGGACATGTCCGAGCAGCAGCTCATCGCCAAGCTCCTTGTTTGCACAGACCGTTGCAGCAGCTTCAGCCGAAGTCTTCCAGTGCCGAGCCCTGACCACGTATAAAATGATCGCAGTGACGCCGCGAACTCCGGTCTGCTTGGAAGGGTTCTGCCTTCCAATGTCATTTTTTTGTGGTGGCTCAAGCCCGTTTGCCCTTCGACCGCTTCGACCTGCATCCCCAGCGCATCCTTGCGTCCTGGCCATTGCCATGGCAGCTCGCATGGCGGACGTAAGAAGCAAGAAGTCCAGTTGGTACTTCGCCGCGGCTGCGGTGACGCTGGTGTGGCCGCGCAAACCGCCTTCCCATCGTCCCTCTCCTTGCCTTCCAAGAGTGCGATCACCATGGACAGCTCGAGCGGCATGCAGATTACTGTGAAGGACGCAAAGATCAACAAGAGCCTCACTCTCGACCTTGAGCCCAAAGACACCATCGAGATTGTCTTAAAAAAAATGGCATCAAGCTGGGCATCGAACCTGGTCGGCAGCGCTTGAGCTTGGCAGGAAAGCCGTTGCGGGATAGCCGCACTCTTTCTGACTACAAGATCCAGAGAGGGTCCACTCTGATCTTGATACCGGTCAGGCAGACTGAATCGGACAAAGTTAAGATTACTGTGAAGCCATCTTTCAAATACCCCTTCCGTGTCCTAGCAAGTTCCGCCGACACCGTCGCGGATGTCCAGAAGCAGATTGCGCTGGAGGCATCGCGCCTCATCTGCAACACTTGGAGTACCTCGGAAAGGCCCATGGAGCCGTCACGCTGAGCATGGTCGAGCGTCTCAAGAGTACAAAATAGACACGTCTTCTAGATATGTCTTCTGTCCAAGATGAAAAGTTCTTGGCTCCTCCCTCGTTTTGAGTCTTTTTCAACGCTTTGGGGGCAACATTGTGCACAGCAGTTTTCTCACGATGCTGCGAATCCGGCGCTACAAAAAGCTATCACGCAGGCCCTTCGAGAGTTGCAACAGGATGTTCCCCAAAAGTAGCACATGTCGCGCGATGCTCACAGGTTCCTCGCCGGTGTTGCGAACATGGCAGCCTTCAGCCGCGAGGTGCTCTCCTCGCATTGAAAGCCAAGCACCTCTCGGCTGCTGTTTCGGGGTTCTCTGTGGTTTCGCTTGCTTGTGTCAGGTTGGCATTCCCACGGAAGCGGGCCTGCCCCATGCCTTCGGCAACGCCTTCCGCAATGTTGCTTCGCTGATTGCTGACATCGACTTCACTTTCAAGGAGGCGCCGGTTGTTTGCAGATTTTGCAGTTGTTTGCAGTCGCAGACCTTCGAGGCCACATTGGGCTTGTGTGTGCTCGCACTCGCAAGGTCGAGGAGGTGAAGCAGTTCCTGGCGGACCCCGAAGCCTACGCCGCAGCCAACCCTGTGGCTGCCTCCGGCCCTGCGCCTGCGGCAGGAGGGGAGGCCAAGAAGGAGGAGAAGAAGGACCGACCCTGAGAGAGAGACGTGCGCGCAGAATCTGAATGCGTTCCGCAGGCAAGCATAAGAGTGCCCGGTGACAAGGGGCCTTTGGAACCGGAGAGAGGTCTTAGGAGTTGCTTGCACAGGCCGTGGTGGAGGAGGAAGAGGAGGAGGAGATGGACTTCGACCTCTTCGGCTGAGCAACTTGCTGGCACAGAGTGATGCACTGAGAGGTGCACAGGGAAGCACAGGGCGGGTGCTCGGGAGTTCCTTGGTCCTTGAGGCCACGTCATGGGCGCCACACTGAACCCTGGACAGGTTGTGGGACAGGTTGTGCGGAGAGTGGTCAAAAGGAGCGAGTACTGTGCCTTCTGCCTTCGCACTGCCTGCACTCCCGCATTCCCCCACCTCTTTGTTTGTGCCTTTCTTAAGCCTCAGCTTGACCTCGCGCGTTGATCTTGGCATCTTTGCGTTTCACTTGGGGTGCCGTAGCCAAAGCTTATGAGTGCGCCGAGGTGTTCAAGCATGGCGGCAGATGCTGAGAGGAGGGTCATTCAGAAAGTCGCTACATACTCTGTAGCTTCTTTATCTGCTGTAGCTGTCAGTTCTGACTGGGGAGGCCGTGCGGCGCGATTGCATCAAGGAAAAGCACCTTTCAAGCGCAGATGCAGCGTTTGCCGTGTGATGATCCCATGACTATTGACCGAATATATTACAGATATATATATATATGTCTATACAGGCTTCCGCATATGTCTCTATAATGTAGTGTTAGTGCATGCAGGGATTTGGCTGCTTCCGATTGTCGCAGGGCCTGGAACTCCTGCAGAAGCGCGGGAAGTCGCTCGTGCAGCAGGCCGGTGCGCTCTCGAGGGACGGCGCATTTTGAATGCAGCAGGCATTGGGGGTTTAGGGTTTAGGGTTTAGGGTTCTCACGGATTTTGGGATTAGTCAATGTTGGGAGCTCCGGGGCGTGGATTCTTTCGGGTGTTTAAGGGAGGCGCGCATGTCAGGACATGGCAAGACTATCTAAGGGTTGAGGGTTCAAGTTTCTGGCCCAAACCCTAGCCCCCACGCAGCCCTAAGCCCTAAACCCTTAGAATTTGCACCCGCGTTTTGCTCGGCCCCTTGCTGATTGCTGAGGCTCTGCCGCACGTTGAGGCCCTCGGCCAGATCATCCAGGCAGTCTTTTTCTTGTACCAGAAAGTAGTATGTTGTTATGTTGTTATGTCATTGTGCTATTATGTTATTCTGTTAATATGGTATTATGTTATCATGCAGTTATGCTATTCTGTTTCTGTTACTTTGTTAAAGTTACTTTATATCGTTTTTGGTTTTTGGCTATTTTTATGACAATATCTGAAGTCGGATGGCGGATGACAAAGTGTACTGGGCTGACGAGGAGGGTTGCTTCATGTATGTTGGCACGAGGCTACGCGCAACGAGACGTATCGGGAAGCCTTCGCTCAGCTCTCGAAAAGCGTGCAAGACTTTCACTTAGCGGCTGCCTGAGAGAGCGCGGCGTCCGAAGCAGCGAGCGCAGGCAAACAAAGCCCTTCAGCCCCAAACCCCTAAACCCTAAACCCTTAACCCCAAACCCTAAACCCTAAACCCCTAAACCCTAAACCCTAAAGCCCTGTAAACTCTGAACCCTAGGTCTCTTCAGCACCGCTCAGAGCAACGGCGGCTCGCCTGGGAAGTGGGCTTGGCTGAGAGGATTGCGGCGGCTTCACCAAACAAGGGACCTCTAATGTAGACCCAGGGTTTAGGAGAGCTCAGTTAGGCCTTGTGTCATGGACTCAGCTTGGTAAACACCCTAAACCCTAAACCCTAAACCCTAAACCCTAAACCCCAAACCCCTAAACCCTAAACCCTAAACCCTAAACCCTAAACCCTAAACCCTAAACCCTAAACCCTAAACCCTAAACCCTAAACCCTAAACCCTAAACCCTAAAACCCTAAACCCTAAACCCTAAACCCTAAACCCTAAACCCTAAACCCTAAACCCTAAACCCTAAACCCTAAACCCTAAACCCTAAACCCCTAAAACCCTAGACCCCCCAAACCCCAAACCCCAAACCCCTAAACCCTCAACCCTCAACCCTAAACCCCCCCGTGGTGTCACATAGGAAGTGTGTGCGGTGGCGATGCCGAGGCTGCCGTCTGCGGGCTGCTGCCATCCTTGGTGGCTGTCGGGTGCCTCCGACATATTGGTTTAGGGTTTAGGGTTTAAGGTTTAGGGTTTAGGGTTTAGGGTTTAGGTTACAGTACTTTATGCTTATAGGACTGCATTGTTGTGTTCTGCAAGTATTTTGTTGTTGCATGATTAAGGCTTTTTTTTCTGGGGGTTGCAGGGTTCTAGGGTTTCGGATGTGGCTTTCGGGCTGAGCTGCGCTGTTCGGGGCTGCTTCGCGTGCCGAAGCGCGCCACGTCCGCGCGGATCACAGGTTGCCATTCCTGGCAAACCGGGGATTGATAGAGGCCGGCGCTGCACTTCTGAGACGCATGCCTTGACCTATTTTATTACAGTATTATTATTCTTCTTCTTCTTATTATTATTGTTATTGTTATTGTTCTTGTTATTATTGCTATTATTTTTTCTATTATTTTTACTATTATTATTTTAGTATCATGGTTATTATGCAAGTACCAGGCAAGATGCCCCCCCCCCCCCCCCTTCCCCCCTCAGCCGACGCAGGCTGTTGCGGCGGCCGTCTTTTGGCTGGTCATCCGGCCGGCTGCCGCCATGCTCGAGGCCGGAAGCCATCGCAGCGTTTAGGGTTTTTAGGGTTTAGGGTTTAGGTTTTTTTTTTTTAATGCTTGCCATGCGCATCCAACTGTCTTTTGATACAGCGGGAAAAGCGTCGGGGCGCGCGTTGGCGCAGTCGTCGGGTTTAGGGTTTAGGGTTTGGGGTTTAGGGTTTAGGGTTTAGGGTTGATCCACTGACTTCCCAGGCTTCTTGGTGGCTTCTTGTCCCAGGAGCAGCTGCGTTCTCAGCAAATGCAGCAAATGCCTTATTCCCAAAGAGCCCAATACCCCTTCGTGAAGGAATATACCTTAGATTATATTAAGCATCCCTACACATTTTCGGTAAGTTCCTGAATTAAGGGCTTTTGGGCTCGCTGGGTTGGTTTCTTTGGCCCGTCGGCCCCCAGGTCCCCACGGCTGTGCGCGGCTTCACCCTGGGCCTGATCCCAGAGGCGATGGTCATGGCAGCCGGGCACTTGGGGTTGTTTTTTTAAGCTCTAAGAAAGTGGAGGGAACGCGCACTTCCCCCATCTTCCCCCCCCTCCCCCCTTCTTCCCTCCCGCCTCATTGTTAAGTCGTAAGAGCTTCCTTTCTTACGTGGCCAAGGCAGAAGTCTGTTGGCCCCCATCATCCCGAACCTGCCCAACCCCTGACGCTGACGGCCTTCTCTGACGCGTGAGGGTGGTTAGCCTTCACGGCCCCCTTGCTTTAGTAATTTCATTTTTTCTTTGCAAGTCACTGCAGCCGTTGAAGTTCAGAGTCCCAGGCTCACTTTTACTGGTGCTGGGGCCTCTTCGAGCTTGTCTGCCGTCGCAGACCAGCCGCGCAGAGGCAGGGCCAAGCAACGTTCGACGTTCCCCCGGTCCGAGTCCGAAAAGAGAGCGCTTGGCTGCCAGGCTTCTCGCGGTCGCATGCCTGACCTTCGTCCTCCTACCTGTGACCCTGGCGCAGGCACTTCTTGGTGGCACCCTGAACCCTAAGCCGCCCGAAACCCTAAACCCAGCCCGAAGCTGAGCCTGAAGCTCCCTGGTCATCCGTCACCTGGAGACCCGAGGTCTTCTTGGATCACCTGCAGCCTCGTCAAGCTTGTCTTTGTGCTCTGGTGGGCGACTTGCTAGGACCATCCTCCATGCTGCCTTTGCAGCACTTCTGTCTTCTCATCGGTCGTCTTTGGGAAGAAAAACCGCAGGGGGTTTACGATGTTGTACCTTAATGGGGTCCTTACTACAAGGGAACCCTATTACTTGGGGTCTATTTTAGGGGTCCATATGGCATGGGGGCGTTTAGCCCCGGGCAGCTGTTCAGGACTTCTCTTCTTCCTCGCGCTGCGCACCCCGCCCTGCTGGCGCATCATCTGCGCCATGGCCCTGGCGCCCGAACATGCCCTAGGGTTTAGGGTTTAGGGTTTAGGGTTGAGGGTTTAGGGTTGAGGGTTGAGGGTTTACGGCTGAACCCGCAACCGCCGAAACCCTATGCAAGCCCTACACCTTCTTCCAAAGGGTACAGGTGCCTCACAACTACCCGAATCCCTACATCCCAAAGTCCCAAAGCATCAAACATTCGCGCCATGTGTCAAGGCATCGACTAAGGGAGTCATTGCAACTCCTTGTGCAGGGGCAGTGTGGGAAACCAGGGAGGAGCCGTTTCCCATTGCTCCCTACCACACTGCATCATCTGCTGAACAACTTTTTTTTGTTTGGTGTGAGTCGCGGGTGAGAAAGCGCCGGGACTGGCAGCTCAAGGCGTCCACGTATCCTTCTCGGATTATTTTCGAAGCCAGCGTAATCCTGTTGCCGAGGCCCTGCCAAAGGACCAGGCGTACCTGTGGGGCAAGGCAGGAGAGCCACAGCTCACTACACCTGAAAGAAGAGTTTTTTTGTGCCTGAGGGCAGCTGATCAGCACTCTGTGTGTGTGTGTGTAGTTGCACGGATGCAACCATCGACCCATCTCTGGAAATCAAGGACCCAAGGAGCTGTACCGCTGCATTGGCACAAATGCCGCTAGGGGATTCTCCAAGTTGTTGGGCTTTGTTTGGGGACCTGCACGGGCTCTGCAAAAATAGGATGAACGACGGGAGGTAGAAAAGGAACCCTACACCCTAAGCTGTAAGCCCTCAACCCTAGCAAGCTCAAATACCCTAAACCCTAAACCCTAAACCCTAAACCCTAAACCCTAAGACCCTAAACCCTAAGACCCTAGCAAGCCAAGTACCCGTTCAACCGCACTGGGCTCCCAGCTCCAGCGATGCAAAGCCGACATCGGAAGCTTTGCCTCCCAGCTGTGGGTGGGCTCCAGGGATACTCTCCGAGATTCTCTAGACTTTGGGGTTTAGGGTTTAGTGTTTAGGGTTCAGGGTTTAGGGTTTAGGGTGGGGGTGGGGTTATCTGATAATGGGCACTCCGCGGAGACTTTGCAGGATCCTCTGCGTGTGTGGTGACCCGACGGAGGAGCGGGCGAGGAGATTCGCTGAGTCAAGAACAGAATCCCACGCCGAGGGTGGGGGGATGCATACGGCGAGGTGGGTTGCTACGCGTGAGCGCGGACGCAGCGGATCATGGGTACCTATCCCCCCCATGAGAACGGTACGGGCAACCCAAGGATGACCCGCAGGGGTGAGCTTTTAGGTTGTCTCTGCAGTTGTAAGGTAGAGTTATAAACAAGAATACCTGCGATCCTCCATGTATTCTGAAGCCCTAGCCACCTCTGGCAGGTGCCAGCCTTCCGGCTGCATGACAACCTCAGCACGTTCTGGGGTGGATGTGTGTGGTGCGCTCCTCCCGGCGTGCCATGGAGTAAGTTTCTCTGTGCGTGTGTTGGGTATGTAGGTGCTGTGGCTTTGAGTCAGTGAAGTACGCACCGCATAGAAGAAGCACTTCTTGTGCCATCCGTGAGAAAACTGTGCAGTGCATCTCTGCATCTCTGCATCTCTGCCGCCACCATCGCTGCCGCGCCGCCTCCCTTCAAAACAGCTGCTTGAGACTTCTCACGGCCTCTGCCTTTGCACGCCATTGTGGCATTCTTTGACCCGATCTCTGGCAGCTCTCATCCATCGGAGTTCACAGGGCCTGAAAAGGACAGCACAAAGGGGCGCCTTGTTAGTGAGACGAAAACCACTTGAGCCCGACCCCCGGATCCCCGGATGACGCTGGAGTCCGAAGAGCCGGGAGCCAAGGATATGGGGCTTTCGGGAGCCCGGGCCGAGGTTCTGTGATAGTTGGCGACATGACGCATATGACGCTTATGATCAGTATTATTAATATTGTAAATAATATTTTAACATTATTTAAGCTTATATTAATCATTGTTAATTTTCTCAAACATACTTAAAAATTGTGGAGCCTTTCAAAGCCTAAACCCGGGACCCAAAACCTCAATCATCCTTTCAACCCTGTATCCCCGAGCCCCCAAGCCCACACATGTCGGGTCATCCTCGCACGCTGAATCCTAAACCCCCAAAGAAAAGTTTAGGGTTTAGGCTTCGGGTCCACCAGGGTTTGGGGTTTCAGGGTTTAGGGTTCAGGCTTACGGTTTTGGGGCTGAGGGTCTGTTCGGGTTTAGGGTTAACGGCTTTAGGGCTCGACTTCTCGAAACCCGCCTCGAGGCCCCAGTGCGTGCTGTCCAAGCAGGCCACGGCCAAGGCTGCCAGGACCCCGCCTGTCCGATGGGTCTGCTATGGGGCTGAACCCTGAACCCGGCTCTGACACAAAGCCACCAAGACATGCGCACGAACCCCAAAAAGCCCACCAGACCTTATAGGACCTCTCAACAAACCGAAAAAAACCCCTCCAAACCTCATAAACCCTCCCGACTTGAATTCCTCCAAGCCCGATAAACCCCCAAGACCCTGTGCAGTTCAGGGTTTCGGGTTTAGGGTTTAGGGTGTAGGGTTTAGGGTTTCGGGTTTCGGGTTTCGGCCTCTGGCCTTTCTCGTTTGTCTAAGCTCCTTTCCGGTTCTGGGAAGGTTCATAGGCAGTTTGTCAGGTTCAGAGGCTCCCTGAACCACAAACCCAAAACCCTAAACCCTAAGCCTTAACCCCTAAACCTTGAACCTGTACTTTAAACCTCAAACTCAGAACCTCAAACCCTAAGCCCTAAACCTTAAACCCCTAAATCTTGAACCCTAAGCCCTAAACCTTTCTCCCTAAACCCGGTGAGTGCTGGCTGGAAATTGGGCCGAAGGCCCCTGAGACCTAGCAGCCTCGCCCCCGAGGTGGCCCTGGAGCCAGAGTCCGAGAAGTCTGCGGGAACCTGAGGGTATAGGGTTTAGGGTTAGGGTTTAGGGTTTAGGGTTTAGTGTTTAGGGTTTAGGGTTCAGGGTTTCGGGTTTAGGGTGGGGGTTCCACAGGAATGGCTGGACGTGCACAGGAAGAAAGGGTTTTGGTTCTTCTTGCTGTCCCCCTCGCCCATCGGTTCTGACTCCTCCTGCGGCTCCTTGTTTACATCCGGTGCAATCCCAAAACGACCATGAGCAACAGCAAGTGTGAAACAGGGGGCGAACAAAACCTCCACCTGTTGCAGAAGGTGTCCACGGGAAGATGGGTGTGCAGGTGGATGATGAGGAAAACACTGCCTGCAAGTCCTGAGCGGTGGCACGAGACTCTCCCAAAAGCTTTTGTTAGGGTTTAGGGTTTAGGGGTTAGGGTTCAGGGTTTAGGGTTTAGGGTTTCTAGTTGCTTCAACGGTTTCCTAAGCCCTTGAGAGCGCAAGCCTCTACGAAAGGCCGGGTTTTGGGTTCTCGTGGTGGCCTGTACAACCCTATAACCCTTGTATCACCAAATGCCTCTAGGCAGCCTCCAAAAAAAGGCCTATACGGGACTTTCCTCCCAAAGTAGGGCTACGTCTTATAGATCCCAAAGGCCATAATTTCTGGAACACGACGTAGGCACCCCCCAAAAAGCGCTAGTTTTGTGAAAGCCCGAGTTTAACCCCCCAGAGTCCAACCCTCAACTCTCAACCCTCAACCCTCAACCCTCAACCCTCAACCCTCAACCCTCAACCCTCAACCCTCAACCCTCAACCCTCAACCCTCAACCCTCAACCCTCAACCCTCAACCCTCAACCCCCTTCCCTAAACCCTGACAGTTGTCGAGGCCTTGTCGCCGACGGCGGACCTGGGGGAGCTGCGCGAGTGCGATGCCCAAGCTTTGCTCGGGGTTTGTAGGCTCGGGCCTCACAAAAGTCGCAGGGTGTGAGGGTTTAAGGGGGTTTAAGGGGGTGTTAGGGGGTTTATGGTTTTAGGGTTTTGGGGGGTTTTGGGGTGTTTTCGGGTATTAGGGTCTCAGGGTTCAGGGTCCTAAGGGTCTCAGGGTGCTGGAGCTCACGGTCTCTGGCTTTCCGGGTCTTAGGGTTGAACCAAGATTCCTCGACCGGGTGGTGATATCTGAACAATGGGCCCGTTTCGTACCTAAAGCAGACTCGAAGACCGCCAAAGCGCCCAGAATGTTCTCCTCAACCTTTGAGGTCTAGGGTTTGAGGGTTCAGGGTTTTAGGACCCTAAGCCCTTAAAACCCTGGGGCCCTAAACCCGATACCCGACTCCCGTATGTCCAGGTCCCACCCCTGCCCAGGTTCGTGAGATGCGAGTCCTTGGAGCGCATGCAGCTGTGCATGCGCCTGCAGAAACAGCAGGAGACCGGATGCTGCTCAGAACCCTGAATGGATTTAGGGTTTAGGGTGTAGGGTTTAGGGTTTAAGGGTTTAGGGCTTGGGGTCCCGAACCTGAAACCCGAAACCCGTGGTGAAGAGATCTTTGGATGAGGAGATGCTGGAGCAGCTGTCGGAAGGTGTCATGCCCACGCCTAAGAGAGTTTCACACGTGGGCACCGGAGCTCGTGGATCCATGGGCCCCTTCCGTAGACCCTGCCTTCACGATTGAGGCCCTTGAAGAGTGATGCAGTGGGCCCAGCACACCGCCGCCACCAGCCGCGGGATGAGCATGAAGGGTCGGCCCTCCGATGGTGCGTCGCTGCAGGGCGCTTCCGGCGGCTCCCTGCTTTCCGAAGACTTGATCGTGGGAGAAGGCGCTCACGCGTGCAGTACTGGGTGAGTTCGGTAGTCGGCTTGGAAATTCCTGGGGCTTTCGCGCCTCGGGTTCCTTGAAGTATGCTCAGAGGGCATGGAGGGCATGATTGCCGTGGTGTCAAGGGCCGTGTTGCAGTGAGCCTGATACATCATCTTCGCACCAGGTCCATGGCACAATTCGATCGTGGCGGAGGCCATGGATGCAACAACAACGGTGCCGAGATTTTGTGGGCATGTGTGCGCTGGTCTGTCTCAGGTGGATGCGTTGAAGCTCTCAATGCAGCATCTCTCCCAAGACATCAAGGAGTTGCAGGACGGCACGGCGCGAGAAGCGATATACTCACTGCATCCGGACATGACCTGCGTAGCGGTGATGTGAGCGATCGCTTGCAGGAGTGTTTCGATGTCAGGCCTGCTGAACACGTCGCAGATGCATGCACTCTGGGACCTGCCTTACGAACACGAAGCCCACTTCATTGGCAGCTTATGTTTATAAACAAGGGCACCTTGGGGGATTCTTAGCCCGTCAACGAAAAGGGTTTGGGTTCTTCAGTTAGTTTCAACCCTAAACCCTAAGCCCCATGAACGGAAGTTTTTCGCTTTCAGTGGTCGGCTGCGTCAGGCCCCGCACGGGAAGCCTCGTGCCGGGCGTCCCAGGGCCTTCGTGGGCGTTGGGGGGCAAGCGCTTGCTCAACTCCTCAAAAAGACTCAACTAAGGGTTGAGAGGTTTAGGGAGGGTTTGGGGTCCCCTAAACCCTAAGACCCTAAACTCCAAACCCATGGTTTGGGGAAGATTCCTCACTTTCAGGCTCGCTGGGGTAGGTTTGAGTCCCTTCCCTCGGCATCCCGAGGCTTAAATCCGGTGGCTGCCAGGCAGACTGATGTTTGCTGTGCTCTCGAGCATAGGGTCTATTTTTGGAGGTTCATGGTACTTACTAAACAATTACAACCGTACTTATAACTGCACTGATAACCATATTAGGGTAAACTTAAGGGACTTATTAGTGGGTTATAAGTACAGTCATATTGGATGACTAAGTACCATGCACCTCCGGTGTAGGGTTCACGCCCGTGTGGCGTTCCCGACAGTAAAGTCCTCAGTACCCAGGGTCCCACTTCAGAGAACGGCTTATGTAACATTCCTGATTCTTAAAAAGGGGTTTCCCCAACAGTAAGGGAAGCTATTTTGCGGGGGTCCTCTGCAGAAGGGTCATAGGTTTTGGGGGGTATGTCCGGGGCACCCCCTGTTCTGAGAACTACCCAGATGGGACGTGCAGATGCTCCTCGGTGTCGTTTGCCTCGGCAGGCAGTCGATGAGTTTGTGGATGATGGCCGCTTTGTGCACAGCTCAGCCAGGCGAAGATCTTCCATTGGTTGGTTGCCTCTATGGCCAGACTGTAGATGCCGCAACCATCCTCGACGCCCTAAACCCTAAACCCTAAACCCTAAACCCGAAACCCGAAACCCTAAACCCTAAACCCTGAACCCTAAACCCTGAACCCTAACCCCTAACCCCTAACCCCTAAACCCTAAACTCCTAAGCCTGAGCCCTCCTTGGCCCGCCCAAGCCCTCCCCAGCTACAAAATTTTCGCCGAGGTGCAAAATGACCTGGACCGCTCTCCCTGCAAGGCCAGCGCTGGCACTGGGGTTTAGGGTTTAGGGTTTAGGGTTTAGGGTTTGTGGTTAGAGAATGTCCAGGGTTTATGTAGGGAGGTAGGTAAAGGACGATGTGCGTTGCAGAGGTCTTGCGTGATCTGCGGCTTTTGGGGGGGGGGGGGGGGGGTGTGTCGCTGGCCTCCCTAAACCCTAACCCTAAACCCTAAACCCTGAACCCTAAACCCTAAACCCTAAACCCTAAGCCGGGAAGATACAACGTGGGGGTGTGGAGGGGGGTCGGCCCATTTCTTAACCCCCTCCGGACTCCAGCCCAACCCTAAACCTTAAGCCCTCAACCTAACACCCTAAAACCCTAAGCCCCCAAACCCCTAAGCCCAAATCGAAGCGGAGGCCCCCAGTGAGGAGGGATCCTTCGGCGTTGCGCCCTGAGGAGGTGAAGATGGCCCAGCTAGGTTAGGTCGTCCCACATTGGGGTTTAGGGTTTAGGGTTTAGGGTTTAGGGTGAGTACTTATGGGCCAGTTAGAGCTATGTGTTGAATCTCAGGTAAACCATGTTTTTGGGGACGTAGCTGGGATCATAGGTGTAGCTGTCGTTGAGATGTAAGTACGCTGAACCTGCCAATGCAGGTTTGCAGCTGATGATTCTGGGTGTGTGTGTGTGTGTGTGTGAGTACTCGTGTACCCTAAACCCTAAACCCTAAACCCTAAACCCTAAACCCTAAACCCTAAACCCTAAACCCTAAACCCTAAACCCTAAACCCTAAACCCTAAACCCTAAACCCTAAACCCCTAACCCTAAACCCTAAACCCCAAAAAAACATTCAATCATCCCGCGTCTTGTCCGTGAAGCAGACGTGGTCAGCGGAAGTGTGCAGCTTCTGCTGCTACTGTACTCTGCTTGTTAGCTACAACCCAGTTCGAAGCCCCTGCGACGAGGATATTCGGGTTCTAACTACATCTAGAAATAAGCCCTCAACCTTAAGTTGGAGTCGTTTTTGATTTTGAAGGAATGGAAGCTTGCGCTACTTGAAGGTTCATTGGTGCCCATATCCCAACTACCCCGAAACCCTAAGCCCTGAACCCTCAACCCCAAACCCTAAACCCTGAAACCTAAACCCCTAAGCCCCCTTCATAGCTGGGTATTTCCCAACATAGGGAGTCCCTAAAACCTTTTTCTGAGGGAAGCACTCACAGGCCTCTGATGCCCAGGGCTAACGGTGCAAGTGCAACTGGGCCCGAAGCACCCACAAACCTCCGAGCAAGACCTGAGCCCTTAACCCTGAACCCTAAACCCTAAACCTTAAACCCTGAACCCGAAACCCTAAACCCTAAACCCTAAACCCTAAGCCAAAGCCTCTTTGCAGCTCCCGGTGGGGCCGAGGGTGGGCTGAACTTCGAGCCGGCCCTGGACCTACAGTGGCTGGAGGAGCGATTCGAGGCCCCGGCGGGGGGGGGGGGGGGGGTCGGAAAGGCTGAGCTTGTGGCGTAGGGTTTCCGGTTTAGGGTTTAGGGTTTAGGGCGCGGGTTTAGGGTTCAGGGTTTAGGGTTCAGGGTTTAGGGTTTAGGGTTTAGGGTTCAGGGTTTAGGGTTTAGGGTTCAGGGTTCAGGGCTTAGTATGTTGCATGGTTTCGGGTTGCTTCGGCTTTGCAGATGTCGAGCGGGAGGCCGAAGGGGGGACTGTAGGATGCTTGCCGTCACCGAGGCGCTACGAGTTCCTGGCCAGGTAGACTTTTTAGGGTTTAGGGTTTAGGGTTTAGGGTTTAGGGTTTAGGGTTGAAGACTCCCTGCCTTGACGTGCGCGAAGTTCCCTCTGCACCCTCAGCTCCTCATCTCCCAACTTCCAAACCCTGAGCCCCACCCGAAACCCTAAACTCCTGAACGCCTAAATTCCCTAAACCCCCCCCGCTCAACCCTAACACCCCCTAGAGACTCCGAGACTCCCAAACCCTAAACCCTAAACCCTAAACCCTAAACCCTAAACCCTAAACCCTAAACCCTAAACCCTAAGCCCTAAGCCCTAAGCCCTAAGCCCTAAGCCCTAAACCCTACATACCCCGCGTCCAGGACGTGCAGAACCAGTGCGCTGCTGACCTCACCAGCGTGGAGCAGCGGCTCGTGGATGAGTTCACAAGCCTGAAGGTGGGAAAGGGGTGAAGGGGGGAGGGTTTAGGGTTTCGGGTTTAGGGTTTAGGGTGGGAAGGGGGGGGGGGTATCGAAGAGGGGCTTTAGGGTTTAGGGTTTAGGGGGGCTTAGGGCTTCGGTTCTAGGATGGGAGGTTTATAGGGCCTAGGCTGGGGGAAAGTAGGGTCCACAGGGGTTGAGGTGTAGGGTGTAGGGTGTAGGGTGTAGGGTGTAGGGTTTGGGTGTTTTGGGGACTTCGAGGAGGTGGAAACGCCTTTGGGGATTCATGGGTGCTTACCGCCCAAGTAGAACTATACTAGGGGGCCTGACACGTGTCTGAACAAGTCATCGTCGTGCATGGCAGGGCTTCGTGGATGCGCGAAGCTGAGTCCAACCAGAGCCTGTAGATGGCTGCCGGACACCGTGGGTCATGTCAGCTGCCAGGATGGTTGGGTGACTTAGAGTGTGATTTCGCCGCAGCTTCTTGGCTCATGGGCAGCTTTCCTTCGGGCCGTGTGAGCCTGTCGCCCCGCTTTCATGACCTCACTGCTGGCCGTCCGCCGTGACTTGGCGGCATTGGCGGCATGAAGGGACGTGCAGTCACCTCTCTCTTTGGGTGGTCACCGGGTAGTCTCTCTTCCCCCCAGGTTGAGGATTCCACTCGCAGAGCGACGTGGTATCCAACTCAAGCAGCTTGAAGACCTTCTGCGATGTCTGGAGCAGGTGGCAGCTGAGTCAGGTGGCCACCGGACAGCAAGCAGCCACAACAACTCGTAGAAACGGCCACCTGCCCCTGTGTGTGAGAGAGACTGAGAGAGAGAGACTGAAATCAGAATTGCTCGCAAGCGGCAGTGGGCGCCACGAAGGCTTGAAGTGGAGAAAGGCGCAGGCGGCAATCGATGCGGCTGATGTAAATCTTTATGATCTTTGCGACGGTCTGATCAAGCCGTTGACATTAAGATCGAGGCGGGGCGCCCCGTGTAGCTGAGGGACCCTAAACCCTAAACCCTAAACCCTAAACCCTAAACCCTAAACCCTAAACCCTAAACCCTAAACCCCAAACCCTAAACCCTAAACCCTAAACCCTAAACCCTAAACCCTAAACCCTAAACTGTCGGAAGGCTGTGACGGTCAGCTGCAGGCGTTTATATGCTGCCAGGTGCAGCTATGTGGAGGCCGTGGCAGAGTCTGAAGACAAGCAGGCCGGCCACGCACGGAATGCCTTCGAGCCGTTGAAACTGCAAGATGTAACATGTTAGTGTGTTAATATATATATATATATATATAATATACATATAGTATAATCTGTCTAGAAATATGTATATATATATATACATATATATAAAAGATAGAGTATATCGTATAGTAATCGCAAGCACAGTAGTAAATGAAGCCCTAAGCCGCTTTGAGCTCGTGACAGGTTCCCTCCTTCTTCGTGAGCCATTGGTGGGGTCACCGGGCTAGGCAGCCTCCCGAAACCTTGAACCCACGGCGCGTTGCGCAATCGTCCGCATATCGGTTTGAACAACCCCCTGAACCCTCAGGCGAGCCCGTGGCATCGTTTGTGGCTGCGGCCCGGAATCATGGGCTGGTCCGGGGGCGCTCTTGCGAAGATGCGCGCCATGGCATGTCGTTGAATGTGGGGTTCGGAGTTTTGGGGTTCCTGTAGGGGTCTTAGCAGAGCAAAGTGCACCGTGAGCCGTGTGCTGCGTCAGGTATTGGGTCTGTGCGTATGCCAACAACCAGCACGACGCGTTGGCAGTACCTTCTCCCAAGCTAAGGGCCCCTTAATGAACCCCCCCCAACTGCTTTTAATGTTTCCCCCAACCCCCCTCAGAAAGCTTCCAACGTGTGCTTTGCTTGCAGTGCTCGCGAGCCCCTTCTGCTGTGAGGAAATTGGCAGCAATCCAAAAGAGTCGCCCTTTTTCAGAGCCTTGCGGCTGGTGGATGGTGTTCTGCTGATTCTCGATGGGCTGGGGCCTGCCACTCCTTTCAGGCCCTGACTTCTTGGGAGCCCCCTGCCTCTCCTCGCTTGCGACGTAGTGACTTGAGACAGCTGCTGGCTTGGCTCGGGCAGGCGCATGTGGTGCTGCTTTGAGAAGAGCCTGGTGGTCTCGTCCTTCGGGCGTGACAGGCCAAGAGCACCTGAGGGGCGTCTGCCTGAACAACCCCTTTTTGACTCTTCCGTTCCCCGATGCAGGGACCGCCACCTGCTGCTGGACGTGGCCTGCACGCATGAAGGCAAGCCGGAGTTGCTGACGGACGGGCTGACGGCTGAGGAGGCACGCCCTTGGAAGCCCTCGGATGCAATGGCCACGGGGGATATGGACATATGGTGAGTTCTCGAAAGTATGGTCCCTTCTTTGGAGTGCCCTAAATATTAGGGGCCGCCTTGTAGTAGCAACCCCAAAAAAGACCATAAATTCAGAGAAGCGACCACATGGATGCACAGTGGACATGACGTGGATGTCCGGCGGTGGTCTGCGTGGTCGCGCCGTCTCTTGCCTTACTGTTGGCTAGCAGGGAATGAGGGAAGTAGGGCCCTATATATAGTATATATATATATACCCTTTTAAGGGATTACACAGGGGTACCTCATAACCCCCATTCCCCACTAGCCAACAGTAAGTTGCAGGCGCGCATGGAGGAGGCCCACCGGAAAGTGGCAGCGAACTCCTCCGGCTGGCTGGCCAAGTCTCAGCGAGCCTGGGGCTTGCAAAGGGTTTAGGGTTTAGGGTTTAGGGTTTAGGGTTTAGGGTTAACAGGTTCAGGGTGCAAGGCGCCCCCCCCACCTAAGTCCCGCAACCTGGTTCACAAGGGGGCCACAAGCTCCGAGCAGTCACAACCCTAAACCCTAAACCCTCAAGCCGAAACCCTAAACCCCAAACCCGAAACCTTGTAAAGACTCATGAACCTCCGAGGAGAGGGAACCTTTCCAGTCCAGCTCCTCCAGGAGGCCAGGTCGTGCGAAGTCGGGTTTCGGGTGTGCGCTGTGCGCCCCCCCCGAAGTTCTGGGGGAGGATTGCCCCTCCCCTCCCCGCCAGCTCTTACCCGCCACAATACCTCTGAGCAGCACCGCCCAGGGCTTTCAAATCTGCATCCAGAAGGCCAGCGCCAGCCGCGAGGAAGATCGCCGGCGGATCCTGAATGTCATTGCTGGCAAGCCGGATGGTGAGCTGGACACACCGCCTGAGCCCGAGCATTCGGCCTACCAAGCGGTGGACCGCAGCCTCCGGGGCCTCTTTGCGGTGGCCACTTGGAGGACCGCGGTCGAGCAGGCCTGGGCCGGGGGTTTAGGGTTTAGGGTTTTAGGGTTTAGGGTTTAGGGTCTAGGGTTTGGGGGGGGGGGATCGTGGGGACCTATGCCAGCAGTACCCTTGTTTGAGATTCGACAGTCCGAGGCCAGAGAGGGTCTCTAGAGAATATCGACTGAACGAAGATTGTACATGGTGCAATCTCCCGTACTTGCTCGGGCGGAATAGCTCAATCTTTGTTTCTCGCACAAACAGGTCTTTTTGCAAGCTTCCTGAAGTTCATCATGGCAGGAAGAATCTTCAGGATGTTTCCACCTGTAACGCGCGCATGGTAGCCATGCGCTCTACTTTGACCGCAAGTCTCTGTGGTGGGAGAGCCTAACCTACGCGCTCGGGGCAAAACCTGCGCGGACCAGGCCGATGGCGCGTTTTCCATGCAAACTCCTTTTTAAACATGATTTCGAAGCTCGTCTTGTCGTAATGATGATCTAGATTTTCCGGAACTCTCCGACAACAAGTTGCATGCCAAAGAAGGAGAAGCCGAGGGTCCAACCTGCAGAAGGCCCTGATTTGACAGTCTTCTCTGGTCTCTAAATCATACTTGCGCAACGCGCTTGCTTTGATTTACCATGCGACGGCGTTCTTTCTTCACAGCCAACGAACGCCTGATGATCCTCTAGCTGTCTTACTCGCCTCCAAAAATCAGCTTTTGGAATCGTATTCGTGGCAAATCCGCACAGCAAACGGTTTTCAACTTGGGTCTGCTTCGATTCCTCCTGTTTGGGGTCTTCGCTGATAATTAGGGTTTTTTTGAACTTGAACCCTAAACCCTAAACCCTAAACCCTAGACCCTAGACCCTAAACCCTAAACCCTAAACCCTGGACCCTAAACCCTAAACCCTAAACCCTAAACCCTAAACCCTAAACCCTAAACCCTAAACCCTAAACCCTAAACCCTAAACCCTAAACCTTAACAAAAAACAAGCCCTGAATCCCCAAGCCCGAGCAGGGGAGGCAGATCTCCGAGCAGCCTCACGGGCTTCCGCTCGCGTCCGCGCTGCGGGACAGCGGCCGAAGTGAGCTGACGTTCCCTGGGTCATTGTTGAACAATTTGAGCATCATTGCAGTGTTTTTTTGACTATTTTAAGCCCAATAAGGAACATTTCTGCATTTTTGTAGGACTATTTAAGCCCAATAAAGAATATAACTTTCTAAAAATTACCCCAGCAATGGTGCAGGTTCCACTTCTCCCGATGCCACCAGTTCTCTGACGAGGGCCTTGCGCAAGTCGTCGAGAGCCTCCCACAGGAACTGAGGATGTTGTCGCTGCAGTTGGAGGCGTGTCAGGCACTCTCCCCAGCTGCCCTGATGTCCCTGGGCCGGGGATTGCAGACGCTCGTCGGCATGTGCTGCGGTGGCTTCGGCCGATGGTTGCCCATCTTCGTCGTAGCTGCTCCAAGCACGCAGCCAAGGACCCTTACCGCGTGTAACAGCCTGGACTTAAACTTGAGCTTCACTGGTATTTGCTCATGGGAGTCCTTGGCTGGCCTATCCGCCGGTCTCCGGCAAATGCCTCAGCTTCAAGTCTTGGTCCTGGAAATGGAGGCGCGCTGTCAATTAGGGTTTAGGGTTTAGGGTTTAGGGTTCTTCAGTGTAAGCCTCTACGCATCATGCGCCACCAGCTCATGATTCCACCAGCTTCATTCCATATTCCACCTGCCTGAGCAGGGTTTGGATCTCGCAAGTTTGCGTAGAACAATATGACAATCTAACAATACAACAATGTAAGGATACGATAATGGGACAATATGCCAATCTGATAGTATGACAACAGTACCCTACAACAGTATAGCATTATTCCGATGTCAATTCAACAGGATAACGGAGTGACCATATGGCAATAGAACATTAGGATTGCGTAGCACTATAGCAAGATAACAATATAACACTATGACAGTATAACAATATAGCAATACAGCAGTATGACAATACGACAGTATAACATTATAACAACAGAGCAAAACAACAACACCACCATAGCACAATATAAAGAATATAGCAGTTTCACAATAAAAACAGTTTCACAACATAGCAACATGCCGATATACCCAAGTAGCAAGCTTACAACAATTCTATATTCTGTGTCTTCATGCACTGACAGGGCTGCACGGGCATGACGTCCCTGGATGCACTGACCGCGTGCTTGCCATCGCTTCAGGCAAGTCTCCTACGTTGGCTTGGTTGCAGTACATGTTTGCTGTAGTTAGCCAGCAGCTAGCGATGGTAGATCGCAAGCAGGGGAGATCCCTCCGAAAGCTGCTTACACACTGCCCTGGACCCGAAACCCTAAATCCCGAAGTGAAGCATCTTTTTGCATCCCGCTTGGTTTCCTCAAACGGGGGAGGCCTTAAGATGCTTGCGCCTGGGCTGCGCGCGCCTGAAGCTTCACGGACTAGGCAAGCCCTATTGTATTTGTCGATGTATTGCATATGAGCAGCCTGTATGTGAATATGTTATCGCATTATGCGATTGTTAGAAATTATACTCTTGTACATTCTTGTACTATCATATCATGAAATATTTTTTCGTTTTCTTAGCATTAGACTGTACATCGTCAGACAATTTGTAGTTACATTGCCTTTATAGTAATGTGCGATTACACCATTATACTGCGAAAACGTGTATGGTTCCTACTATACGAATAGACTAATATACCATTATACGATTATACTGTTATACGGTGAAACTGTTAGACTATTATGCTACTATGCAATTATATTGTTATACTATTGTACCATTTTCTTTTAAACGATGATACTAGTACTATTCTACCATTATGCTAGTATACGATAATTACCATTTATACTATTATGCGATTCTATTCTACTATTATTCGACCATACTATTATACAATTTTCCATTAAACGATTGTACTATTCTACTATTATACTATTATACGATTATACTATTTTACCATTATACTATTTTATTATACTATTCTACAATTATAGTATTCTACGATCATACGATTCTACTATTATAGCATCATATTACAATCCAAGTACACTATTCTACTAGTATACTATTGTACTGTATACTATTATACGATTATACGACTACGCCATTGTACTACTATACCATGTACTCTTGCACTAGTGTACTGTTGTCCGATTTCACGGTCAGATTGTTTTCTCGTTATAGTTGGAATATCCAATCTTCTGCTTTCATACTCAGAAGCTTCTTGCTTCAGACTTTAGGAAGCGGCAGCTCGCAGGTGACCTGGGCGAGAAGCTGGCCCAGTGCCCGCTGCAGGAGCTGCGACTCGACTTCAGCGGGTGTGGCGACTTAGAAAGCCTGGACACCCTCGCGGCCCTGGAGATTGGGTCCATGAGTCGGGTGGACTGGTGCTTCCCGAGATGTACAGCCCTGATGGTCCGCGATGACTTCTGGAAAGCCTTGCATCTGAAGTCCTTGCATTCCTTGCGTGGCTTGAGCCACTTGAGCCTGAACTTTGCTCACTGCTTGGGTCTGCAGGAGGTGCCCTGGTGGGAATTGGGCTGGGGGATCCCATACTAAGTTGACATCTGCAACAGCCGCAACACCCCAATGAGCTCTCCCCCCTCTATGCACCGTGCCGTCTCGGAGGTGACGTCTCTTGGACTGGCGCTCGAAGGTACGGAGCTTGCGACCTTCAAGGTGAACTTCCACTACTGCAGCGCCCTGGCCCAACACCTGCAGTGGTCCTTCCTGACGGTTCCGGCCTTCCAGGAAGCCCTTGCCAAGGGCGGCCAGGCAAAGAGTCGGGATCTTTGGCAAAAAGAGAACCCGCAACGCCGTCGTGAGAGTGTAGCCTAGCGCTGGGCTGTGAAGCAGTGTGGAAGCCCTGAGAAATGTTCACCCCTCAATCCCTGCAAGGGCCGCACCTGCGTCCGCGACCCGGCGGGCAAGTTCCAGGTTCGGGTCGAGGACTCGGAGGAAGAGGAGGAAGAGGACGGCCGCTGAGTTACGCCGCGCCAGATCGCTCTGGGACGCAGGTGCTCCATTGTGGCGCGCCGGGGACCCGCAAGAGATCGCACGTCCAGGAGGGATGTCCAAGACTGGCCCGAGATCTTTAAGAAGGAGGAGGGCCAAGATCCAGAAAGCGGGCATTGCTATTACGCTGCAGCTCTGACAACGACAACCTGGCGCAGTGAGGAGAAGCCACCATGGGCCCCCAGGTTCTCTGAACACCTGGGGGTTTCCGAAAAGAGGGGCACCCCTTTTTTCGGAGCAGTTTGCGGGCATATTTGGGTACCCCATCTTACCCCTTCACTCGGACACCGCCAGAAGGGCAAAAAAAGATTGTGTCAGTCGGGTTCTGGTGGAGAAAGAGTACAAGTGAGTCTCAGGATCATAATGACAATGCCAAAAGTGTTTACAATGTCGGTGAAACATCCGTAGAAAATGTACAATATCAACAAGGAAGTATCAAGAATACCTACACCATCAACAACCACTACCTTCTACACCAGGAATATACACAGGCTGGCGCTCACCCTGCGCTCATGAGCCCAGGCGGCCATTGTTGCCATGGTCAGCCGCATGAGCACCCTGGAGCACCTCCGCCACGCTTGACGTGGCAGTTCGTCTTCTTCCTGGCACCTGCCAGCAGAACCCGCAGCAAGAAGAATGGTGGTTCACCACTGCCCCCTAAAACCCCCGAAAGCCCTGAAACGTCAACTGCTCAACCTCAGACAGCCCTTGAACGTTACATCCCCAGCTCCATTCTCAATGTTCTGCCAAAGGCTGCCTCTCCCTTCTGAAGCACACCGAAGTCGCCAGGATCTTCGTCAAGGGGGAAGGCGGCCTCTCTGAGAAGATGGACGAGGGCTTCAAGAAGGTGGCGCGCCCAAAGGTCTCAGGCTTGTAGGTTGTTTTTTTTTTGCAGGGAGTTTGGGTGAATAAGATACCAACATATTTATGCATTTGTGTGTGTGTGTGTGCATATACGTAAAACCTCTCCACACATAGTGTGTAGGTTTATGGTTACCGGTTTAGGCCTTCAGGGCTCTGGAGAGGGGTTTATGGCAAAGGCAATCTTCCTCTTCCCTTGTCACCGCAGGCTTCTGCCGTGTATCCTCCACCCAACACGCGGAAGCCGACCGATGAACCCAAGAGCCCTTGATCTTGTGATGTTCCCTCTTATACTTACAGTCCTTAGTAGGGATTCTAAGAGGGGGATATAGGGGGGGGGGGTACTAGAATCCCTATTAAGGACTTCTAGTAGGGGGATATAGGGGGTACTAGAATCCCTATCAAACCTTGATCCATGCTTCCGGCTCCGCCGCGCAGGTTGCCGACGAGGCTGCCGGCAGCACGCAGAGGCGGCCGCCTCGAGTGTCACTTTTGGGTTTAGGGTTTAGGGACGGGTGCTTCTCGCGGTGGACGTGTTGCGCGTGAGCCATTCCCAGGGTCGCTGTCTCGATGGAAGTGCGCTGCGAAGCGGCTTCTTGTCCAAAGCCCCGCAATGTGAGACGACTTCAGCCCTAAAACCTAAAACCTCAAGCCCGAAGCCCTAAACCAGAGTTGATTTTTTGCTGCTGGGCAGGCTGCAGGGATGCCAAGATGAAGTTTCAGAGCTCACAGACAGGCAGTGTGAATCCGAGCGAGCTGTAGGTCGTCCTGCAATTGCTGTGTTTTTTGAATGCCTCTCGTTGCTGCGTGGTTATGCTTGCGAACTTCTCGCACGAACCCTAAACCCTAAGCCCTAAACCCTAACCATTATCCTTGCAATTTGTCCTCGCAGGATCAAATCTGTGGAGAAGCGTGGGGGTCTTACAGCAGCCCAGCCTTTTCGGCAGTAGCCCCGAGGCCCAAACATACCTGGGCAGTGGACTGTTATTCTTGTATTTCACTACGGATTTGCTTGTCCTTTCATATTGGACTTGTCAAATATCACTACGATTATTGGTTCGAATTGCTGTTATCATTATTCTGACGGTTGCTATTAGTATAAGAGAATGTGCAGTAATGTTGTTCTCAGTGTTCTTATTGTTAGCATTGCTATTGTTACGGTTGTTTGCAACAATCCCTAAACCCTAAACTAAACCCTAAACCCTAAACCCGAAACCCTAAACCCTAAACCCGAAACCCTAAACCCTAAACCCGAAACCCTAAACCCTAAACCCGAAACCCGAAACCCTAAACCCTAAACCCTAAACCCTAAACCCTAAACCCGAAACCCTAAACCCTAAACCCGAAACCCGAAACCCGAAACCCTAAACCCTAGACATAGCCAGAATTCTGGGTACCACCAGCCCTTGCCTTCCTTGAGTCTCGTTGCGGAGGCAAAGGCGCAGGTCTCGAAGGGTCCTTTTCTGCAGGCCCAGTTTGGGGTTTAGGGTTTTGGGGTTTGGGGGTTAGGGTTCCCTTTCCCCCCCCCTTCCCCCCCTCAGTTCCATCAGTTTTCTGGGCACCCTAAACCCTAAACCCGAAACCCTAAACCCGAAACCCTAAACCCTAAACCCTGAACCCTAACCCTAAAGTTTCGAGCCCTTCTGCTTCACGGGGGTGCGCTTTCCCGCCAAGGCCTGGAGCGTACGGGCGGCAACTTGGTCGGGTACAGCCGGGGCCCGTGCCTTCGCCCCCACCCTCGAGTCTTATGTGGGTTTAGGGTTTAGGGTTTAGGGTTTGGGGTTTAGGGTTTAGGGTTTCGGGTTTAGGTTATGTGGGGGGGGGGGAGTGTTCTCTAAGTTCGGGGTGTCTTTTTGGGTCCTGTTTACAAGGGTGCCGTGCTATGACGAGCTTCTCCACAAGAACATCTAGTAAAGACACTCAAGGAGCACAAAGATATACATTCACCACATCCTTGACGCGAACCCGGCTTTCTAAGGGCAGTTCTGTGGTCCCTTAGTACGGGCCTTGTAATATGTCAATATGTCCCTTATAGGCCATATGAACCCCCGGAGGGCCCATTGATCAGAACCCTTTCAAGAAGGTGAGGATCATATGTTCTCTACATTCTTGGCCCTCCTTAACCGCAAAATAAGGCTCCGCATTACAGTCGGAACCCCATGGACTCCACAGAAGGAACCGCGGTTGTTAGAGAAACTTTTGGGTCGTTCTCTAAATTCGCCTGACACCAATCTGTCTTGAATGGATTGCATAATCGCCTCCCTCAGTCCGTTCTCGGCCCACGTGACGCCTGTTGTAGGTAGCACACGCTTTTGCATTCTCAACCTGCAGAGTGGGCATGTCCCAAGATAGGGGTACCCCTGATGTCATCGGAATCTTCAAAATGGATATCCTCTTTGCAAATTCCACAACGTTACCCGAAGCTTATGTTTGAACCTACCACGAAAATGGTAGGCTCGATGAGATATGCTTGCCCTAGCCTCATAGTTATCCCCAAACCCCCAAACCCTTGAAACCCCAAAACCCTGAAGCCCGAAAACCAGAAAGCCCCCCAAACCTTAAAGCGCCAAAACCCCAAACCCTAAAACCTAAATCCCGAAAACCCTGGCCCGAAACCCGAAGCCCTAAGCCCAACACTTTTGAGAACTCTAACACCTTAGCAAACCAGGCCCCGCACCTGGATACCGCAGCCCGGCGGACCTGAGACGACGCTTGGAAGGTGGAAGAGGTCGAGGTTAAGGCTTCAGAGTCTTTTGGGGGTAGTCTAGGGTTTTCGGATCTTGGGGGGCTTGGGGGGGTTTTTGGGGTTTAGGATTTGGGGGGTTTGAGGATTATCCTTGGCCTGTGGCTTGGGCGCTCCAGGGCCCACTTCAGGCCTCAGTCGAACGGGTTCCTGCTTGGTTCATGGGTACTTCTATTGGGTTTAGAATTTAGCGTTTAGCGTTTAGGCTTTAGGGTTTGAGGTTGAGGGAAACCCTACGGGTACTTTGAAGTAGGGTTAAAGGCAGGGGTAGCTGTGGCCACAGAACCCAGCCCCTAAACCCTAAACCCTAAACCCTAAGCCCTAAACCCTAAACCCTAAACCCTAAACCCTAAACCCCAAGCCCTAAGCCCTAAACCCTAAACCTCACTTCTAGGTACCCACGAAACTCCAAAGCAGGGTGCCTCTCAGGAAATGGCGAGAGCAACGACTCCGCCGGGAGCCGAGGGGGCAATCTCCAGCTCAGGTTTAGGGTTTAGGGTTTAGGGTTTAGGGTTTAGGGTTTAGGGTGTAGGGTTTAGGGTTTCGGAGTTGGGGTTTTGGGTTTCGGAGTTAGGGTTCGGTGACTTGCGCGGTGGCAGTGGTGCCCCCCTAAGCCCTAAGCCCTAAGCCCTAATCCCCAAACACCCAGAACCAAAGGATGCAGGGTGGTGAGGGCGGTGTGTTTGCTCCAGCCTCAGAGTGAGAAGGCCGGTGCGAGAGACAGTGGCACCAGCGCCCAGGTGAAGAGCTCGACGATTCCGGAGAAGAACCAGACGCCTGAAGTGGTTGTTGACTTAAGTGAGGGGGGGGAAGTGAGCAGGGACGCTGAGAGCGCAGCATACACCGGACAACCCACTCTTTCGTGCAAGAGAGGTCCTGGCCTCTCCGCAACGAGTCCTGTCCCACGCAGGCGCGGCCCTGGCAAAGGGCACCTGCCGTTCAGCTGTCTGTTGGAAGTCTACCGGCGGTGCCAGCTTCTGCTTCGAGCTGTTTGGCTAGACGGCTGCAAGGTAGGACCGTAAACACGGAATCAAGCTGCAAAAACAGTGCCACGCCAGATCGGATAGCTATAGGAACGAAGCCGCCTCTTCGGCACTTCTTTGAAAGCGCTCCGTAGGGATAAGGTGCCAGATGGCTGACATGGCAGCGATGGCTGCAACGGGGGGTCTGAATGGAGGGCATATTCGGCGGAATAGCTGGGGCATTCAGAGATCGGCAGGGAAACCATGGGGCGGTGCAGGGGAGGCCACCGGCCCCTCCGCTCCGAGAGTAGCTGTGCTCTTTCTGGCTGCAGGGTGCGGAGGGCGATGGGAGCCTCAGTCGGCAACCTTTATAACGTTATTTTGGAGGTGTGTTAGGATCTCAAAAGAATTCCCGAAGCTTAACCTTTGGGCTCTTCTATGTTCTTCTAGACCCTAAACCCTAAACCCTAAACCCTAAACCCTAAACCCTAAACCCTAAATTCTAGGATGCTGGACCTCTACAGGAGCGTGGTTCACGAAGTGCGCTGGGGAGGCGCCAAGGCATCCGGCGGAGAGGCCTCGCGCGCCGGGTGCTGAACCAGAGGCAGAGAGACTCGGCAGCCCGTTTGGTGCTGCTCTTGCCCTTTTGCATTCTGGGTTTAGGGTTTAGGGTTTAGGGTTTAAGGGTTTAGGGTTTAGGGCTCCCTTGTAAAAGCACCCACCCCCTCACCTCCCCCCCTCCCCCCACCCCAAAGACATGATGGGCTACCAAGGAGAGGCCGTAGAGGCGCCTGCGGGTGAACACCTGGTCATTGCGGGCGCAGGCACCGGCAAGACCACGACGCTGACGGAGAGGCTGGCACATCTCGTGAACCAAGGTCCGGGGTTTCCGAAAGTAGGGGTACCTTATTGGGGTCCTTATTGTAAGGGGATCCCACTAATCTTTTTCTGGGGGGTCCCTTATTTTCCAAAAAACCCCAGGTGTGCGGCCGGAGGGGATCGTTCTCCTCACCTTCACCCGCATCGCCGCGGAAGAAATGACATCCAGAGCAGAGGCACTGGTCGGGCACAAGATGCAGGGTGTAAGGTCTGGTACATTTCACGGCTTCAGCCTCAACATGCTCCAGAAGTACAAGGCTCGGCTGGGCTTGCTTTCGGGCTTCTCTGTGCTGAATGCCTCGGATGCAGAGGGCATCATCGCTCAGAAGCGCAGAATGCTGGGCTTGAACGGACGAGAAGTAGAGTTCCCAAGTGCCGGCAGGCTTGCGACCCTGTTTTCAAGAAGCGCGAATACCGGGGTCTCTTTGCAGTTACTGTGCGAACAGTGGCAACATTCTCGACACACCGACGGCATTCTCGCAGTCTGGGAGGAGTACGAAGCAGAGAAACGGCGCTCGAACTACCTGGACTTCGACGACCTATTGGTCCGCTGCCATCTTCTCTTCGAGAAAGATGAAGTTGTTCGCCAACTCGAGGCAGGAGCCTGCGAGCATCTTCTCGTGGACGAGTACCAGGACACGAGCCCTGTCCAGGACTCCATTGTCAAGCATCTCAGCTCGGTGAATGGAAATGTCATGGTAGTCGGCGATGATGCGCAGAGTATCTACGGGTTCCGTGGAGCCTCGGTAGAGAACATTCGGAAATTCGAAGATTCATGTCACTCCAAGATGATTCTGGCAGACAACTACCGCAGTACGCAGCAGATCCTGGACCTGGCGAACGCGCTCCTGAGCAGGTCGACAGAGCACTTCCGCAGCGTGCCCGCATGCTCTGAGCGACGGCGACACGAAAACATGCAGCCACAAAGAGCGACCGAAAGAAAGTAAAAGCAACGAACTCTAAGGACTTCCAGCACGGGGTACTTGTTAAATGAGAACATCTTTTCCTGGCGACTAAATGAGGGGGGGGGGGTGAAACATTGTCCTCATAAAGGTAGAGGAGTTATGAGCCGGGTTGCAAAGCAGGATAGCCATAGCTATGTCCAAGGATGTGACTTCTACTCCTACTTACCCCAAACCCCGAACCCGAAGGCCTGCACCCCAAAAAACCCCAAACCCTAAGCCCATAAACCTAAACCCTAAACCCTAAACCCTAAACCCCAATCCCTGAGCCCCACACCTTACACCCTAAGCCCACGAACCTCTTGAAGCTTTTTGTAGCCGAGGCAAGGAGCTTCGGTCCGAAATCTGCGGTGACCTGCCGCAGCTCATGAGCTTCAGGAGCGATTTCACAGAGTCGCAGTGGGCTCCTGGGGCCTGCCCTGGCGGTTTGGGGCTTAGGGTTCAGGGTTTAGGGTTTAGGGTTTAGGGGGTTTAGGGTTTAGGGTTTAGGGTTTAGGGCTGAGGGTTTGTGTAGGGTGGAAGACTGTTTTGGGGATGGTTTGGGGTTCGGGGTTTTGGCATCCGAATAGAAACCCCAGCTTAGAAAATCTCAGCGACAAGAACAGAGTGTACCTCCGAACATTTTCCCCGCGAGGAAGACCTGAAACCCTAAACCCTGAACCACCTTCAGCCCCACCCTAAACCCTAAACCCCTAAACCCCTAAACGCCTAAACCCTCAACCCGAAACCCTCACCCACAAAAATCCTAAACCCTAAACCCTAAACCCTAAACCCTAAACCCTAAACCCTAAACTCTAAACCCTAAACCCTAAACCCTAAACCCTAAACCCTAAACCCTAAACCCTAAACCCTAAACCCTAAACCCTAAACCCTAAACCCTAAACCCTAAACCCTAAACCCTAAACCCTAAACCTAGCGTCTCAAAGCCCAGGTCGCAGCCAAGATAAAGGAGCTACACCAGGAGGGTGTTCCTCTGAAGCACCCTGGAAGATTCCTTGGCAGTTTTTATTGGGGTGCCTTGTCACCCCCGAAAACCCTAAACCCTAAACCCTAAACCCTAAACCCTAAACCCCAAACCCTAAACCCTAAACCCTATCTGCGAGGCTCCGTATTGTTCTTGGAACCAAAACAGGCACCGTAGTTGAGAGAACTCTCTGCCTGCAGCCAAGGAACATGGCGGTGTTGTACCGCATGAACCAGAGGTCACGAGAGCTAGAAGCGCAGCTGCTGCAACAAGGCCTTGAGTACCGCAGGTACGGCGGCCACAGATTTGCAACACAAAGTCACGTCAAGGACCTCATGGCTGTGATTTCCGTGGCGCTGAACCCGCTTGATGTGGTTCATTGGAAGAGAATCTTGAGACTCTTCGCTGGCGTTGGCGAGGTCACTGCGCGACAGGTGGTCAACTCTGTGAAAACGAACGATCGGCATGAGCTGGATCCGCAGCGATGGGCCAAGAAGAAGTTTTATCCGGACCTCGTTGCTCTGCAGAAGCTGTTGTCATCACTGCGCCAAGAATCGGATCCTCGCACCTGCGTCAGATATGCCTGTGAGTGGTATGCTCCTTTCTTGCGCGACCTCAGCAACGCTGGCGAGCGAGAGAAGGACCTGGAGACATTGGAGGATTGTGCAGCCTCCTGTGACTCTCTACTGGACATGGCAAGCAAGATGCAGATTGAGGATCCCTTTCCAGCAAATGGGAAGAGGGAGAAGCAAGAGGACTCACTGACCCTTTCCACGGTGCACAGCGCCAAGGGCCTGGAATGGGACGTGGTGTTCATCATGGGCGCGGATGACGATTTCAGGCCTTTCTCTCGCTTCGATTCTGAGGAGCTTCGGCGGCTGATCTACGTCGCCATCACTCGTGCCAAGCATTCTTTGTACTTGACAAAGTCTCGGGGTCCCTTGACACGGCTGCTAGAGGACATCCCAGACCTGGAGGGGCTTGTTGACATGCACGAAGAGTGTTAAAAGTGTGCATGCCGCCTGCCAGCATTCCCAAACCCAAAGAAAGAAACATCCTGCCGCGGCTCGGTGGTTCCCGTTTGGAGAGTGGAAGGTTCCATGATTCTTTGGGGGTTCCTTCGTGTAGAAGACCAGAATATCAGGTCCCTTGTTGGGTGAAGAAGGATCCTATGATCTTGTTCAGGGGTTTTAAGTCACAGCCTAGGAACGGACGGATTCCCAGCCAGCCCAGTAGCCTTTAGTTCACTTCTGCGGAGGTCCCGTTGGCACTCCGGTCACCCAGCTACGTCCAGCTCCTCGTGGACACAGCATGCAGGCACACGAGAGGGGTGGGGTGCCCTTCCATGTGAAGGTCCTCCTCTCCGTAGCCCAGTGTTGCTCCCCACCCACCCCCCCCTCCAAAAAAAAAAACAACAAATACACAAACAGAACAAAGACAATGCTTCTTACACAAATATGGAGGCTGGGCTGCCAAGCCTTCCTGGGCCTCAATGTTGCGGGCCCGTGTTTGGGGTAGGTGCCCCCAAACCCGAATTGTAGGTAGCTTGCCATGGAAGGTGGTGTGCAGATTCTGTGTCCCTAAACCCTAAACCCTAAACCCTAAACCCTAAACCCTAAACCCTAAACCCTAAACCCTGAACCCTGAACCCTGAACCCTGAACCCTAGACCCTCAACCCTCAACCCTCGACCCTCAACCCTCAACCCTCAACCCTCAACCCTCAACCCTCAACCCTCAACCCTAAACCCTAAACCCTAAACCCTAAACCCTAGCAGGTGCCCCCGGGGGCTGGCTGGATGCCTCCCTCGCCTTTGCAACCCTCCCAAGTCTACCGAAGTCTCCCCGCAGGCACGACCGGGGGCTTAGTAGGGGGTGCAGCGGGTTTAGGGTTTAGGGTTTAGGGTTTTCTGTTTAGGGTTTAGGGTTGAGGGTTTAGGGGGTAGGGTGGTGGCCTAGCTGAAAGGAACTGCACTTATTGCCCAAGTGCAAGACCCTAAGCCCTAAACTTTAAACCACTGAGCCCCAAAACCCCCAACCCCAACACCCCAAAACCACCAAAAACCCTGCATCCTAGAACGTCTGCCCGAACGCTAAGCCTACCCCGGAACCCCACCCCTACGAGAGGGGGGTCCACGTGGAGGCCGGAGAGGGGGTCTTTCGGATTTTGGGTTCAGGGTTTTTGGGGTAGGGGTTGGGATGGTCCTTAATCGGGATAATAGTAACCTCCTATTATAAGCTGGACTGTTAGTATAAGGGGGAGCATCCCAAGGTAGAGGGTTTAGAGGGTAGAGTTTTTGTTTGTTTTTTTTTTTTTTTTTTTTGTGTGTGTGGTGGGGCACAGAACCCGCAGGCAATTCGACTCCTCAGCTGGTCGCTTCGGTCCGGATCCCCAGCCAGCAAAGTGCAGCGATGGTCCCTGCAAACCCTACGGGGTATACGCCGTAGAAATCCTCAACCCTGAGCTCTCAGCCCTACGTATGCCCGAAGCCCTAAGCTCTCAGCCCTAAGCCCTAAGCCCTCAGCCCTAAGCCCTAAGCCACTAAGCAACCTTAAGCCCTAAGCCCTGAGCCGAGCACCCCTACAACGATGCCCATACGATTCGGAAGCCAGGCTGCGATCCGCTGTGTGGAAGCGAACCGCCCAAGAAGCCCTTCGAACTTCGAACTTAGTGCTTAGTGCCACTTAGAACTCGCAACCCTGAACCCTAAACCCTAAACCCTAAACCCTAAACCCTAAACCCTAAACCCTTGTTAGCCCTCGACCTTTATCAGCCCTACGCGCCCCCCCTAAACCGTCAACCCTCAACCCTCAACCCTCAACCCTCGACCCTCAACCCTCAACCCTCAACCCGCAACCCTCAACCCTAAACCCTAAACCCTAACCCCCCCCACAACTTGGCCCGAGATCCTTGCCACGCCGCGCCGCGAGAACTCGGCCAGTCCCTGGCGTCAGAGGCCCAGCGAGGCTGGGATCCGGGGAAAGGCAGTTCTCCAATTCAGGGTTTGTGTTGGGTGTGGAGGGTTTAGGGTTTAGGGTTTGGGGTTTACGGTTTGGAGTTTGGGGTTTAGGGTTTATGGTTTGGTGTTTGGGGTTTAGGGACTAGGGTTTGGGGTTGGAGGTTTAGGGGTTGAGGGTGTAGGCCTTCATTTGGGGAGTTCGCTTATTCATGGTCCCTACGTTTCGGGGGTCATCTAGGAAGTTCTCCGCAACGCGGAGAACTGACCTTAGAAGGGGCTTGATTTTAAGGGGGTCTTAGGAGGAATGCGCCGCAAAAAGAGAGAAAATGCTCTGTGAATCAGTCTACAGGTGCTTGCATTGTCCCTTAGTAGCATGGTCCCTCACCTTCGTCAAAGGGTTCTGAAGTAAGGGCCCTCCCTTGGGTTTTATAGGGTGTATAAAGGCAAGTATGTAAGGGGCCCCTGTGTAAGGGCCCATACTAAGGAACCATTCAGGGGCCAGTGTTCATGTTGCTTTAATGGGGTTGCCCCCCCCCCCCCTCCTCCAAATCCATCCCAGGACCATTTTGTTCGCAAAACGGGTGAGCCTGCGAGCCGAAATCTGACATGAGAAGGAGATGTGGGCCCTTCATCCTCGCATCATCTTGTTTGCGGATAAGTGTGGCCTGCCCACCCCCCCCCCCCCACCACCCGAGACCTTCGTGCATCGTGCCATGATGAAGTCGGCAAGCACAAAACATCGAAGAACGCACAACACCGGCGGCTCTTCTCCCATTTGCAGCCAGACATCTCAACAGACCAACAGGATGGCCCCCCAACGGAGAGCACAACATCCACAGATGTACCCGAATACCCGGTTGCAGGGACGTGAACTCAAGCGGGACCTTCTCTCTGAACTCTTTTAAAGGCGACCACTGTTTACGCAGTCCTCTGGGTCACCCCGAAACCAGCATGAGCGCAACATCCAAGGAAGGAAGTCACGCTTTTCACACTGTTTGTGCACTTTTTATAGCGCGATTTGGTGACATGCTTCTTTTTTGGGGGGGAGGGGGTGGGGAGGGGGTTGCGCATGTTTTCACATTTTTCAACGAAGCTGTGGAGCAAAAGCACCCCTAGGATTCATCAGAAGATGAAGCCACATGGCTTTAAACTATCCAACCTCTGGCCCGTTTGCATCCCCCGAGCTTTCACACACCTCCCCCCCCCCCATTTCATGAATGCCATCTTCGCGGCGTTGCAGGTCTTTGCAGCACGGCCGTCAGGCCCGTTCAGAGCTTCGGGACACGTGTGTAGTGTTCCGACTTTAGAGTTGTGGATTTGGCAGCTTGAGTTTCTTGAAGGTTCACACGTACTTCCAACTTGCTTCCAACTAGCGTCTTAAGGGAACTCGGGGTATTACACTCGGAGCATAGCTGCAGGTATACTTGGGTTGTACGTGCACAACGCACCTCCTAGTTCTTGGCACAGTTTCAGCCCGTGTGGACAGGATTGGAGGTAGCCCCCTTGTTGCGCTGTTGAGGCATGCCGAACCATCCGGGCCATCTCATCACGCCACGAGGGGCTTTCGGTGCCCAGATGATGCCAGCGGCCGGGTGCCCCAAAAGATGTGATGCCTCAGCCTCACGTCGCCAGCATGTGGCCGAAGTGTGCCCCAAGGTTCATATCGTGAACTAGGGGCAAGCTTTGCCAATGTGCATGCGCCCAGCACGGAGAAGGCACCCTTCGAAATGTGCCTGTAGTTACCCAGCCGGGAGCATTGCAAGCTTGCCGAATACGTGTCCGGAGCATCGAAGAACACGTGCTTGCTTTCTGGAATGGACTCCCCTACCACCGAACGTGGTCAGACGTGGTCTAGGCAGCTGCCAACCGAGATGTGCCTTGATACAGCGAACATCTGGCGGGGGCTGTCTGGTTGTGAGATAGGGACCCCTGACAGAAGGGTCCTTTTGAATCTTTTTCACCCTGTAGCCTCGCGTGCACTGCTTGGCACTGTGCGCATTTAGTGCACCCCGGGGGGTGACATGGTCGTTCCACGGAGCCTCTGCAGACATGTCGACTCGAAGACGCTCCCCCGTCTGGTGCATGTCGGGCGAGCAAGGGCTGGCAGAGTTTAGGATTCTGAATGCGGTAGACTTCGTGGCGTGTAAGCAGCAAACTCTCAGAATGCTGTAGAAGAAGTCGGCGCGTCACGTCCCACGCCCTGATGCAGCCCCTCGTAGTGCAGTCGCGTGCGACCAGGTTGGTGAACCCGAGTTTTTTCCGTGACATCAGACCAGACAACACTGAGATCATGTCATACGCCAACCTGCAGCATGCAAGAGGTTCTGAATCCGGAACCGGTGACTCAACCGACATCGTCTAGCTCTCTCGACGCCATCTGAATGCTTGCAAAATGCTTGCGACATGGGCCACCTGATCATTCACGAGCTGGCTGGCTTGTACAGTAGCGCGTCTGAATCCTTCTATCCCCTATCATGCTACAGAAACGATGTAATAACGCAATGAGATAGGACAGAAAATGCATCAGCTTGACAATCCACCAGCGACCGGGGCTCGAGGGTGCGCCACGACAGGCTGCGTGCAGGTAGCCATGGCGCCCGCCCCGCCCGAGGCCGCCGTGGCGTGCCTTGGAGCAGAGGGGGGGGGAGAGAGTGGGGGGGTTGGGGTTTAGGGTTTGGGGTCTTTAAGGTTTGGGGTTTAAGGTTTGGGGGTAGTTTAGGGTTTAGGGCGTCCGAAAATAAGGGAAAGTTTTTTGGTTGGTGGACAAGGGTTAGGGGTATTTTGCAAGTATGGTAATGTCGCCCCTTTTGCCGCAACGTCAGGCAACCAGATGTCCCCCGCTTAAAACCCCCTTGCCGCTCTCTCAAGCTCAGGCCATCCGACTTTATGGCGGCCTGTGCCGAGTGCGAAGAAGGCCCCGGCGCATGCTTGAGGCGTGCGTTGGTTGACTAGGGCTTTAGGATTCGACCTCCTACTCGCTTGCAAACGCAAAACATGCAACACTTTATGCGAAGTTGCTGAATGGACTTGGGAGGCTGCAGTTGTTTGTCTAAAGCAAGCCGGTGGTGGGGGCGCATGGAAAACCATGGGAAAGAATGCACACCTCTTTTCCTCGATGTTGCGCAGGCTTCTCCGTCCCCCTGGGTGTTTTGGGGTTTTTAGGTTTTTTTTTTGACCTCATCACTAACCATCCGGCACAAGAGGGCATCGAGGCAACATATGCTGTAGCATACTAGAAGAAGAGTTGGTAGGGTAGGGGTTGTAGTAGTGGGGGCAGAGGATCATTACGCGGGATTGGAGTCGAGACTTCCCCACTAAACTCCGGAGACTCCTCAAACCCAAGACAAAACCCTAAACCCCTGAACCCTACAAATCCCCCTAAACCCTAAACCCCGAAACCCTAAACCCTAGACCCTAAACCGGAAACCCCAAGCCCAACAAAAAGAGGGCGGCCGCAACGGCTCCGTGTGCTTCTGGCCTCTGGCTCTGGCCTCCGGCAGCTTGGCCTTTGGGGGTTAGGGTTTAGGGTTCATGGGGCGTACTCATCAGTAAGGGTTCTAGGATTTAGGGTCATAACTGGTTGTAGGAGTCCGACACCCTAAACCATAATTGGTTGTAGACTTACCTTAGGGTACGTACAAGCCCACGTATAAACATCCATGGACCTGCAGGTCGTCTTGGGGGGGGGAGGGGGGGGGGCAGGGTTAAGGGTTCATGGGTTAGGGGTTGAGGATGCTAGCGCTTCCGGATTTTGGGCTTTTTTAGAGGTGTTTTTTTTGTTAGGGTTTTGGGTTTTGGGTGCTGGGGTGTTGGGGTTTTAGGGTTGGGGAGGGGGCTAAGCTGTTGGAGTTTTAAACTGCAGGGTTTGGGGCTCTTGGGGCCTGTCGGGCTCGTAGGGTTCATGGGCACCATAGAACGAGTTCTGCGAATACATGCGGAGGCAGCGAGCAACAGACTGACCAGAAACAAGGACATCAAAAATGTACGTATAGGAAGCGCCAAGGCACGAAACACATCAACTGCCAGAAAGAAGTAAGGACACACAGAAAGGCAGAGCGTTCACCGAACGAAACGTATACGGCATTATATGGTCAGTGCTCAACATTATTATTACGGACCGCCCTTACACATAGTAACCCCAACAGGAACCCCAATTTAGAGAATCCCCGTTACGCAAATGTAAATCAATAGACAACCTGCAGTCGCGCAGTTGAACTTTCCGGGTTTGGAGGGCCCAACATCTCCCGAAGTTTCGTGTTTAGGGTTTAGGGCTTGGCCATTTTAGCAAAAGCCGTGAATGCTTGCCCCCACGGGCATCAGCCGGTCCCTGTGCTTGCGCAGTCCTGTCCCACAACCCCCCTTTTGCTTCCTACAAAAAGGTACACATGCTCTCAAAACAGCCTCGTCGGACCGTTCTGTTTGCAGCTTCGGGGGCCCCGCAGGCCTGGATAATCCATCTGCCCTCCCTCACACAAGTTCGTCTTGGAAGCTTGGACTTCCATGCGCCTGTACCTTGGGTACATGGGCTTACCTGAACCCTCAGCTCAACCCACCCGAAGCCCTAAACCCTAAGCCCAACACCCTAAACCCTAAACCCTAAACCCTAAACCCGAAACCCTAAACCCTAAACCCTAAACCCGAAACCCTAAACCCGAAACCCGAAACCCGAAACCCAGGATCGAGGGCGCTTCTCCCCTGGCCGCTGCGGTGGCGCTGACGGCCCCAGCTGCTTTGCGTGAAGTGCTGGCAGCCCTGAGGCCATGGCGATCCCACGGCTGACCCTAAACCCGAAACCCGAAACCCTGAACCCTGAACCCTAAACCCTAAACCCTGAACCCTGAACCCTGAACCCTAAACCCGAAGCCCTAAGCCCTAAACCCTAAACCCGAAACCTTCAGGCCCTTAAATCCCAGAGTTGGTAATGGCTTCTTGGGGTTGAGGGCTTCCCCGACCACAACAGTTTCGCACGCCAGGAAGGAAGTCCCACATTCTGCATGCTTTTGAGGGCCCCTAGTTGCAGTTGTTTTGTAGGAGCACTACTCGGCATGTGCTCGCCCTGTGGGGGCATCTGCTCTGCCGACCTGCGAATCTTCGGCAAGCCATAAAGGGCCAAAGCTCCCCCGCACCACTTGAACCCCTAAACCCCAAACCCTAACACACACACACAGGCATCACCCTCATAGTGCTCCCCATGTACCCTTATTATCCTTTCATTCCCTGTAATTCCCTTCCAATTCCCCTCTTAATTCCCCTTTTGAACTCCCCCCTGAAAGTCACCCATCCCTCCAAAGCGCCTCGCCAGGCCTTTGGCTCCCAGCCTCGACGCCTTGGATGCCCAGGGCCACGCGCCCCTCCACGCGGCCGCGGAGCTGGGCTGCGCCGGCTGCGTGCAGGCGCTGTGCCTCGGGCCAGCCCGGGGGCTGTTGGTTGAGGGTTTAGGGTTTTATAGGGTTTGGGGGTTAGGGTTTGGGGTTTGGGGTTTAGGGTCGTGTAGGGTTTAGGGTTTAGGATTCGAATGATTGTGAGAATGCGACTCTGGTTCTTCTCAATCGTTGTTTATTTGTTCTGAGCTTTCGGGCAGGTTGAGGGGGGCTGCGGGCTTGAGAAGGGGGGGGGGGCGTTGGGCTGTTTCTGATAGCTTTCGGACCCTAAGACCCTAAACCCTAAAACCGAAAACCCTAAACCCTAAACCCTAAACCCTAAACACTAAACACTAAACCCTAAACCCTCAGCCCTCAGCCCTAAACCCTAAACCCTAAACCCTAAACCCAAACCCGAATGGTGAAGGCACGACAGGGCTTTAGACCCTTTTGGGGTTCCCCAACCTGCACTGTAGCGAAGAGCCGAGGCTGTGGGCGCGAGCCGACTGTGCACGGCACACGGAGGATGCCAGCTATCAGCTTGGCCAAATGCTCGGGGCTCAGCGGCAAGTTGGTGTCCCGAGACCTTGCATCACGCGTTGCCCCCTGGCCAGGACCACGGTATACAACGAGGCTCGGGTCGCCCGAAACGTTCGCAATCGCAGGAGGGGGGGGAGGGGGGGGAGGGGGGGGAGGGGAGTGAGACAAAAACAGCTTGGATCTGCAAGGGCGGGCGGACAGCCCTGCACATCGCTGCCTGCTCGGGCAAGGAGGACGTTGTCGAGAAGTTGCTTGAAGCAGGCAGGGCCGGAGGCCGACTTTGCAAGAATGGCGGGCTATGGCTGCGTGCTGCGCAGGTGGTCCCAGCCTCCGCGAACAGCGAGACAGCTTCGGCATGCGGGCCTGCGACTTGGCAGAGGACCGTCGACCGGAGTTGGAGGAGCAGCATGTCTGCCCAAACTTTTTGGGAGCCTCTCCTGCAGGAGCAAGTTGCTCTGGCGGCGGTTGCGCAGCTTCCCCGACACCAGCGCGTGCTAGAGCTTCTGGGGGGTCGGATGCTCAGAAGCTAGCCGTAAAGGGTCCATGTACCCATACGATACATACTTGGGCCCTAGAGCTGCTGCGGAGGCAATGGGAACCCCTTTTTCAGGCCCAAGTTTTTCATTTACGCCAGCATAGACCCCAAACAGTGGGAGACCACATGGGGACACGAAGAGCTTCATGGGAAAAACTCCAGACGCCACCCGCGTACTACGTTTGTACGACAAAAGTCGACGTTCGAGCCACCACAGCTCCGGACGTCTCGGCATACTACGTTTGTACTACAAAAGTCGACTTTCGAGCCACCAGAGCTCCGCATGTCCTCCAACAATACCATACAACGCCAAAAGCGGCGACAGCTTCGCATTTCGCGAACCTCGACGTCCAAAAGCAACGACCGTTTCGCATTTCGCGAACCGCCACGTCCACAAGCGACGACAGCTTCGCATTTCGCGAACCCAGACGTCGAAGAGCGGACAGTGTGGCATTTCGCGAACCCGACGTTCAAAAGTGATCACAGTTTCGCATTTCGCGAACCCCCACGCCAACAGAGGATGGCGATGCGCACGGCGCACGGCTCCGAGGCGGGAGCGCGATTTGCAACATCGCGAATTGCAAATCCCTTCAGTCTGGACACACGCAGCGAACCCATGCAACTGCACGAAACGCAGGGTTCCACGCGGCTGCCACGTTTTCGTGACGCGATGCAAGCCGGGAAAGATGCTCGGGACCTGGGCGGAGTGCATTTTCGCCCATACGCACCACGAAATGCCATGGGGCCTAGGCGAGAGCGCGACAGCATCCACGAAGCCGAAAGCACAGAGTATGTTTCGAGGCCCAGTCGGGGACACCGCCCGCGTTGTTGTAAAAGTAGGATTTCCGTCCCGAATGCAAGTTCCGCTCGGCAAATAGCTCGCGCGTGTACCCGCGGGCGTTTCGCGTGCGATCGCACAACTCGATCTAATCGTCCTTCATTTTTAATGTGAGGATCCCTAGTGTTGGCGCACTACATGGGTACCCGGACCCGCCCGAACGACTGGTGCGGAGGTGGGCGGGACCCCGCGCTGGCGGCCGAAGAAGCCTGCGTCTCAACATGAGGGGTTGATCTAGAGGTCCTTTTGGGAGATTAGGTTATGAGAAATGCAGGTTAACTTTGGCAGAGTATTGTCCTGTCAATACAGCTATGGGCAGTTCATGGCAGCACTTCGAGCTATTGCTCCTTTTGCCGGGGCCTTCTGTTCAGGGTACCCAAGAAAGGGCTCAGAATTTAGAACCCGTAGCCCTAAACCTCAACCCGAAACCCTAAAGAAGCGCACCCCCCGAAGCTGCTCTTTGGCATTCTTTGGCCTTCCAGGCCCGCCGGCGTCGCCAAGGGCGGCTGGCAGAGCTGCGTCGGCGAGTTAGCGAGAAGCAGGCCCGCAGAGTTGAAAGTTGGAGGTTGCCGGGGGGGGGGGGGGGGGGGAGGGCTTGAATCGACCTATATATATATATATAATCATATATATATATATGAGCCCGGAACCTTTAGGGTTTATTTAGCATAGAGTTTTTCTTTTCTCTTTAAACTACCTAATATAAATATTTTCAGAATAGCTGCTACCTACGAGCCTTCGGGTATTCTCTACAACACAAAACCCAAGGATTAGAGCCTAGACTGAGGCTCTCCTTGTTTGAAGTCCACCCTAAACCTACTCTAGCCTTAGACTCTAGCCACGCAGCGCGGTGAGCACAGCCGCTTTTAGCCTAAAGGAAACATAGGCTCATCACCCTAATCTTTATTCTATGGTTTAGGTTTTAAGGTTCAGAGTAGAACCTATAGCAGACAGTAAAGCAAATGCGCGTAGACAATGCCGTCAAGGAAATAAGTTTCCTCAGCCAAGGCGTGCTCCGGTAGGGCATCCTCACTGGAGATCTGAATCCCGTAAGGTGGCGTCATGGTGGACATAAGAACCAAAGATCTCAGATCAAATGACTGCAGGAATCCGAAACCCTAAACTCTAAACCATAAACCCTATACCCTTCATATATTGAGAAGCAAGCCAAAGAAGAGCTTCTCAAACATTTTTGCGCTGGCCGCATCAAGGTGTTTCCAGCCCCCTCATCACATCACCTGGGTGAGGTGATTTGGATCTTCGGGCCTTCTTGAGGTAGGGTTTAGCGTTTAGTATTTGTTTCATAGAGCCTTAAGGGGTTTAAGGGTCGGTATGCAACCCAGGGTCCCTTGATACTCCGCACTAGTCATTTAGGGTTTAGGTTTTAGGGTTTAGGGTTTAGGGCTTTACTTAGCTTGTGCTTTGTCAAGCTGAAACTCTAAGGCTGGAGCTGGAAACCCCTCGGCCGTAATTCAACCCCTAAATCCTCAGCTCTACACCATAAACCCTTAATCCTTAAACCCCTAAATCCGAAACCCTAGCCCTAAACCCGAAACCCTAAACCCTAAACCTCACACAGCCGCGGCACTTCTCCGAGCGCCGGCGGCGCAGGTGATACTCTCTGTTTCGCCTAGTTTGCTGACGAGGGAGCTTGCGCTTCGGGTTTAGGGTTTAGGGTCAAGGAGACTTATGGGTCAACGCATTCAACTCGAGCAGCATCGTACTCCACAAGACACCATTAAAAAAATGAGCCTCCACGGTGACTCCTGGAGCACTCGCCGCATCCTCCTGTCAATGATGAGTTCAGGGCGCTATGCGAGACAGCTTATGCCATATGCTCCAGCGGTCCCTCGCAGCCAGAACAAGTTGACTGGTGTTTTGTTGGGCACCTTTGCGCATAAGCTTTGAACGCAAGACTTTCTCGCTCAGAAAACTCATTTCGAGTCTCCGGCCGCAACTATTCCGCCAGCAGCAGCAGAGCCGTCCTGACAGAGTTTGCATAGGACTACTACTTTTCTGAGTTCTGATTAGTGTATCTGACAAGCCGATGCACATTGTAGCCGGTAGACGGATATGACTGCAGCTGAATCCGAGGTCACGACTTCTGAGTCGTTTTCCGCCTCGTAGTCAGCTGGTCCCTGACAAGGGTCAATGCTTCACTAGTTTTTGTTTTTTGTTGTTTGAGGCCCTGGCATCCTCCAGAGTGTTTCCCTCGTCCTGCAGCACTACTATTTTTCTGAATTCAGGCACACTACGACTGCAACTGGAGCTTCGTTTATATCACGACTTCTGAGTTGCTTTCCAGCTCGAAGTCAGGTGGTCCCTGGCAGGGGTCAACGCTTAACCAGGTTTCTTTTGTTGTTGTTCGGGGCCTCGGCATCCTCGAAACTGTTCCTCTCGTCCTGAAGCACCACTATTCTTCAGAATTCTGATTAGTATCTGACAAGCCTATCCACATTGTAGTCTGTGGACGGATATGACTGCAGCTGAATCCGAGGTCACGACTTCTGAGTCGTTTTCCTCCTCGTACGGCTGCGTGTCCTGCCACAAGTCGACGCTTGACCAATTTTCTTTCGTTGTTGTTTGAGGCCTTGGCATCCTCCAGAGTGTTTCCCTCGTCCTGCAGCGCTACTATCTTTCAGAATTCAGGCACACTACGACTGCAACTGCAACTTCATTTTCCAAATCTGAGGTCACGACTTCTGAGTTGCTTTCCGGTTCGAAGTCAGGTGGTCCCTGACAGGGGTCAACGCTTAACCAGATTTCTTTTGTTGTTGTTTGGGGCCTCGGCATCCTCGAAACTGTTCATCTCGTCCTGAAGCGCCACTATTCTTCAGAATTCTGATTAGTGTATCTGACAAGCCGATGCACATTGTAGCCTGTAGACGGATATGACTGCAGCTGAATCCGAGGTCATGACTTCTGAGTCGTTTTCAGCCTCGTACGGCTGTGTGTCCTGCCAAAAGTCGATGCTTGACCAATTTTCTTTCGTTGTTGTTTGAGGCCTTGGCATCCTCCAGAGTGTTTCCCTCGTCCTGCAGCACTACTATTTTTCTGAATTCAGGCACACTACGACTGCAACTGGAGCTTCATTTTCTGAATCCGAGGTCACGACTTCTGAGTCGCTTTCCAGCTCGAAGTCAGGTGGTCCCTGACAGGGGTCAACGCTTAACCAGGTTTCTTTTGTTGTTGTTTGGGGCCTCGGCATCCTCGAAACTGTTCCTCTCGTCCTGAAGCACCACTATTCTTCAGAATTCTGATTAGTATCTGACAAGCCTATCCACATTGTAGTCTGTGGACGGATATGACTGCAGCTGAATCCGAGGTCACGACTTCTGAGTTGCCTTCCACCTCGTACGGCTGCGTGTCCTGCCAAAAGTCGATGCTTGGTCAGTTTTCTTTTTTTGTCTTGTTTACGCAGAACAGAGTCGAGTTTGAAGGCCTCCGCATACTCGGTTCTGCTTTGCTTTCTCTGGACCTCACGAGCTACTATTTTTCTGAATTCTGAGTGGTGTATCTAAGAAGCCGAGTCACATTGTGGTCGGTGGACGGATACGCCTGCAGCTTCCTTTTCAAGAGCAAGAGAGCCTGAGCAAGGCATGCGTCGTTTAACGCATTTCATGTTTGTTTATCTGAAAATACACACCGCTGTCTAAGTCCATGGCAGGTGGTGCATACGGTGGTGGTCTCGGACACAAAGCCTCACCGGTCGTTGTGGACAGGTGAGCTTTGGGCTGAGAGGACGCACGCATCTGGCGGTGAGCTTTGGGCTGGCCGGACGCACGCCTGTGGCTGCACCTCAACGGAGGAAATGTTTTGCTTAGCCAAGTGTGTCCATCAACGATCGAGTTCCAAACACGGGGAACTGGTCGCGGCTCAGGCCGCGCAAGACGGACCTCACGCGTCCCATAAACATGCTGACTGTCCTTTGTTCTGCGCTCGTGTTCGCCTATATACTGAGCTCGGTGCAGGCGGCCTGTACTGGACCCTGCTAGGCGACGCTTGCCCCTCAGACAAACGACTGAGCCTCTTCACGAATGTGTGTGTGTGTGTGTGTGTGTGTGCTACGTTTGTCTTTCACCTGAGCCGAGAACTACCAAAGGCCTGGGTTTGGGCTTTCGCGCCCACGGTCCGGCCTGAGATCAACGGCCAAGCGTTTCTCATTTGTTGCAGGCGCTTCTTCCGTGCTTGGTGTATGTGTTGTGTTGCGCTACGCTTGTCTTTCCTTTATCTGAGTCGAGAACTACCAAAGGCCTGGGTTTGTGCTTTGCCGCCCACATTCGGGCCTGAGATCCACGGTCAAACGTTTCTCATGTATTGCAGGCACTTCTTCTGCGCTTGCTTCTGCGAAATCTGAGCTGAAGACTTCCAAGGGCCTGGATTTCGGTCGCGGCGAGGCCCACGCCGGTTGCAGCTCTCTGCTAGTCGCTGCACACATCGCGAGATAAGCCTCGGAGGTGGCTCACGATGGTTATTTGTTTGGTTTGTTGCTGAAAGCCTGTTGAAATTGGGCTGTGACGCGGTCTCGCGCCGCATGGAAAGTGCTCCAAGAGGGCACCTCCGCGTGATGAATTCATATACTGTTTTTGTTTCCTTCAGATGCCCGTAATAATATCGTGAGCGGTTCGCAGCACCTGTGGCTCCGTCATGGCTCACAGGCCCCTTCTACAGCCAGAGCCGAAACACACCTAAACATGCAGTGAGCAGTTCCTGCAGCCTTTGACTTGATGCTTCAGGTCGCTGCAAACTATAGCTTCTGTCGATAACCACTGCAGTTTCTAGCTTGATGCAGCACATGCAGTTGCATTCTGATTTTTACCAACCATGTATTTGCTGTTTGCAGCACGCGCAAGTCCATTCTAATGCTCCCAACCCAACCATCACATTCAATCTTGCAGCATTTGCAAGTAGATTCTAAACCTCCCAAACCCTGTCACTGTCACTTGCTCTTGCAGCACATGCAAGTATGCGAGTGAGTCAGCGACGCACGACTGCCAGCACTGGGTGAGTACTTAGTAGTCATGCCGTCGGTATCTTCTAGTCTTTCCGGGGGCTCCGAGACATCGTTTCCCTTCAATTGCTGTTCAAGCTGGCCGCGCCCTTCGGGTTCCCGAAACGTCGTCATTCGAAGCAAAATGAGAAAGAAAAAAAGAGAAGGAGAAGTGCTCCTCTGACTCCACTCACTTCACATGACATAGATGCTAAAGCGGGCGCCGCCGACCAAGCATGGTTAACATTCAGCAATCTCTTGGGAAAAGGCACCTCCTGAAACTCTTGGCAGCCAGGAGCAGCATTCGCAAGTACATTTGCCGGCAAGTCCATTCCAAACATCGAAATCATTTGCTCTTACAGCATTTGCAAGTACATTGTAAACCTTAAACCAGCGGCCTTCTGCCAGAGACTGCAGGGACAGTAGCTTTAAGCCAGAGATTGCAGGGGCAGTAGCCTTTAGCCAGAGACTGCAGGGACAACGGCCTTAAGCGAGAGACTGCAGAGACAGTAGCCGGTACGCAGGGCAGCAGAGACAGCAGCCCTAAGCCAG